CATTGAAATACTTTTTCTTGCCCTAACAGAATAAAAACTAGGCTTCTGTGTGTTGACAAGGATGTGAAACAGTGGGAATTCGCAGCTTGTAAGAGTGTGGATTTGGTACAACCATTTGGGGAGCAATTGAACAATATCTGCTAAATCACAGATATATACTGTATACCCTACTACTCAACAATGCCATATATATATATATATATTCTTAAGAAAGTCTCACACATCTGTACAAGGAAACATGTATAAGAAAGTTCTTTACAGTATGTTTAGTCGTAGGGGAAATTAGAATCAATATAAATGTCCATTAATTTTATAAAGTGGATAAATAAATTGTGTACTCATACAATGAAATACTGTACACAATTAGAATGGACACATATACATGTGTCAATAAATCTCAAACACAATGTTAAAAATAAAAGGAACTTGAAAGAGAATATATAAAGCATAGCTTATTTACATAAAGTTAAAAGAATACAAAAATACTATGTGTTGTTATATACATTAAAAATGTAAAAATGTGTAGAAATGATAAACATCAAATTTGGGATAGTGATTACCTTGGAATGAATACAGTACTATGGGTGGCTCCTGGTTTATCTGTGATGGCACATGATACGTAAGAATTCATAGTGGAAGCCATCATTTGAATTACTGGTTTAACTCCTTTGTATCTCAGTTTCCCTATCTGTAAAATGAGGATAATAAACATTACATATCTCATAGGGTTACTGTGAGGGTTAAATGATTTAATATATGTAAAACACTAGAACAGTGCCTGGCATACATCAAATGCTATTTAAGTATGTGCTTTTTTTTTTTTTTTTTTTTGGTAAGGAAAAAGAAAACAAGATTTGAAACAAATATGGCAAGATGTTAACATTCATTAGAGTTTGGTGGTAGGTGCACAGATAATCATCTTATTATCCTATACTTAAAGTATTTTAAAGTGTAAACAAATACAATAAAGGTAAATGACAAATCAGGAAAATTGTGACAACACAAATAGTACTAATAGACAAAAGGGTAATATCCTTAATATATAAAGTATGTTTATAAACCATACAAAAAAGCAAACACCTTAATAGAACAATTAAGAGCAAAGGATATGAACAGAAAATTTCACCAAATAAGAAATACAAAACAAAAAGAAATGTCCAATAAAACAAGAATGTCCTGTTGGATGAGAAAAGGCCATGGGAACGGAGTACCCGGTATTAACATAGTTAAAGGGAAGCAGTTATTCACATGCAGCTCATGGAATTGTTTAAAACCTTTCTCCGAGGATCATTTAGCACTATGTGTCAGAATCTCTGAAAAACATTCATTGACTACACAATTTCATCTCCGGAAATCTTTCCTAAGAAAAGAATTAGACACGTTGCTTTAAAACAAACATGTAAAAGGATATTTATTGTGGCAATGTTTTTAATAGGGGAAAAGGAATGACTATCACAGGGAAATGGCTAAACCAGTTATAGCATATCTGTACAGTGGAATGTGCCACAAATGTTAAAAAAAAAAAAAAAGGAAAAAGAGAGAGAGAGGGAGGGAGGCAGGAAAGAAAGAAGAAAGGAAGGAAAGGAAGGAAGGAAGAAAGGAAAGAAGGAAGGAAAGAAGGAAAGAAGGAAGGAAAGAAGGAAGGAAGGAAGGAAGGAAGGAAGGAAGGAAGGAAGGAAGGAAGGAAGGAAGGAAGGAAAAATGATGCTGTAGATTGTGTTTAATTGGCATGGAAGGATGTTCACAAGGTACTATGTTTTAGATACAGGTTTATAGTGCATGGAATATGGTCCCATTAAAGTCATATGCCAAGGTCAAAGAGAATTTGGGGTTCCCCATAAGTTCCCCCAATTCCTGGAAAGCAGCCATTTGCACTCATTGCTCAGTGAACCTCCTGCCAGGAGTTAGGGGAAGTGGGTCACCATGCTCACAGCCTCCATCTGCCAGATCCCAGTGAGCCTATAAAACATGCAGAGTTGTTTATATCTGAAGGCAGCCCCTGCCTGGGTCTGGAGCTCTTGGCCACTCTCAGCAATCACAATAAATGCTGCTGACAGTAACAGTGATCACCCTCTCATGCAGAGCATCCACTTCACAGCCATTAGCTCTAACTCCTAGAAACCTCCTATGGAGTTGTTATTATTATCCCCATTTATACATGAGGACCCTCAAGGCTCAGAGAGCTGAAGAAACTGGCCCAAGATCACACAGAGGCAGCCCCTGCTCTGGAATCCGGGCCTGGCCACCATTCTCTGCATATCTTAAACCATCAAGCTTTGATCACATGGCCTTAGAAAGCCTGGCATGAGCCTGTGGAAGGAGGAGGTCTGTTACCAAAATGTATGTACTTCTCAAGCTTAGCTACACATTAGAATCACCTGGGAAGTTTTTTTCTTTTTAGTCCCCATACCTGGGTTCCACTCCAGTCCAACGTAACTAGCATCTCTAGGATGCGACCCAGGCATCCATATTTTTAAAGCTCCCTAGGTGATTACAGAGTGCACCAAGTTTGAGAGCTCGTGGTCAAAAACAGCACTTGAACTTTAAATCCCAGGAATCTGGTCAAAATGTAGATTCTAATTCAGCAGGTCTGGGGCCTTGCAAGATTCTGCATTTCCAAAGAGCTTCCAGGTGATGCTGTAGGTCCCTGAAAAACCTTTTATCGTTTCCCCGAAGGGCACTCCCCAAGAGCCTCTCCTGTCTTTTTTTTCCTGAGTCCTAGCTCCACCTGATCACTGCCATCTCGCCACCAAAACAGCTGGGAGCCTGGACAAAGTGAGGTGCAGGGCTTTTCCTGAGCTCCCTTCTCTAGAAATGAGTGTCGGCACTCATAGGTGTCAGACCCACCCTGGTGCACCCCGGCAGTGCTGGGGAAGATCAGAAGTGGGGGTCCAAGGGAGGCGATACCCTTGGAGGGGCTCTCAGGGAAACTGCGCAGGCTGTGCTGCTCAGTGAGGGCTCTAAGCACAGCTGTGTGTGTCTGAGGCTGGGTAGGGAAGGCTCCTGGAAGTAAGCAGAGCAGCACAGGACAGGCAGGACATGGCGCACAGGTCAAAGGCTCAAACATTCGTTCATCTATTCAACAGATACTAGTGGACCACCTATGGGCTGGGCATCATTCCAGGTACAGTAGGGAAAGGTCCCTGCCATCACACAGCCTATCTTCTAAACAGACGAGGCTCGATAAACAAATAGCTGTTAGATGGTGGTGTGAGGCAGAGGAAAATGAAGCAAGGATGGGAAATAAGGAATTTGGTGGGAGGGAGGCACATTTTAAGTTACCAGGACACCCATGGATCAGGTGGCTCTGAAGGGAGTGAGTTATGCGGCTGGGGAGAGGCATGACCCAGGGAAAGGGAGCAGCAAGTGCAAAGGCCCCCAGGAGGGGACAGCAAGGAACAGGCGTGGCTGGAACAGGAGAGCAACAGGCAATGGGGCGGGGGTTGGAAAATGTATGGAAACAGGTTTGGGTGCTGGGGAGAGAAGCAGGTCTCAAGGCTGTCTCTCTGTGTGAGGAACGCAAACTGAGGCTGGAGGATTTCAGGGTCCCTCCCTTTCCCAAGACCCGGCTGATGGAGGAGCAGTTCCCTCTGGGCACAAGCACTAAAGGGACCCCTGAAGTCAGGAGGGCTGGGCTGGTGGGTGGTGCCCTGTGTGGCAGTGCTGAGGAGCCCGCCCACCTGCCCTCGTGGTGCCTACCCCTGAGCCAACAGCATCCCGCTGCCCTCCAGCCCACCTCCACAGGGCCTCTTCTGAGCTGATGGGGAGAGGATGGCACTGGGGTGGCCAACAAATGCCTCCTTTCTAGCACAGAGCTCCATCAGGGCAGGTGCCCAGACCAGAGTGACCTCCTCACCTGATTGCCAACCCCGGTGAGGTGCCTCGGCAATGCCCGTCTCTGACCCCCACCTCCTCACAACTGCTGCAGGCCTGACACTATTCTCAGGGGTACTCTGGCCCTCTGGCTTTAGCCCTCCCCTCCAAAAGACCCTGAGTGCCTCCTCACTGCCCTCAGGACAGCCCCCCAGCTCCTCAGCATGGTCAAGAGGCCCTGCATACAGGACCCCGACTTCCTGCCATCCACACCGTCACAGAACATTCTCTCCTCAGTTGGCACACTGCAGGGCAGCTGGCACGGCTCTCTGGTCCACTGCACCATGGGATCCTTGACTACAGGGTTCTGCCGGTCAAGGCTGGGCAGCTTGGGACTTGTAAGTCCAGGCAAAGTTCAGCCTCTGCCCACTGAGGAATGTTTCTGGAAGAGAAAGGAGGTTTCAACCTAAATTCTGGAGAGCAGCACTGGGTTCTTCTCATTCTCAAACTTAATAGCTACGTGACCCCAGACAAGTTACTCAACCTCTCAGTGCCTCAGTTTCCTTACCTGTAAACTGCAGGCAATGATACTTCCTAATGGAGTTGTTGGATGAATCAAAAGAAACCACATGTGCAGAGTGTTGTGACCAGTACTTGGCACGTAGCCCTGGGGAAGCAGTGGCTGCTGATTATCACAGTGGGCAGAGTCCAGTAGGTGGATGAGGAGGAAGGGCCTCCTGAGGAGCAGGGACAGCGAGGACAGAGACTCTGGGTCAGGGAGCCATGAGCGTCATGGTGATGCGTGGATTTGGCATGTGTTGGGTGAAAGCCCTTCCTGTGGACACACAGATCAGAAGTCTAGCGCTAGGTCATGTCACTGTCCACTGCAGGTGCCCCCTAGAGCCGTGAGTCTCTGTGGAGCCTGCAAAGGGCCCAGGCCATTCCCAACGGCCAAGCTGTGTGCCTGGTGTGCTTGGTGAGCAGCTGCAAGGGCTGGGGGAGCAGGCTGGAGAAGAGAGCTGTCCCCAAGGGCTGGGCCATGGCCAAGCAAATCCCCACTGGGAGCCTGGGCGCAGTCAGAGCTGGCAGCCCTGGAGGGAGCCCCTGCCACAGCGAGAGTCAGGAGGCAGGTGCCCCTGCTGGCCAGGGGCTCTTTCCATCCTGAATAATTCCTGCTCCCTCCTCAGGTCTTCACAGGGATTTTCACAGCAGAGATGACCTTCAAGATCATTGCTCTCGACCCCTACTACTACTTCCAACAGGGCTGGAACATCTTCGACAGCATCATCGTCATCCTTAGCCTCATGGAGCTGGGCCTGTCCCGCATGAGCAACTTGTCGGTGCTGCGCTCCTTCCGCCTGGTACCTGGCTGGACCCACCGCAAGGAGGGGTGGGCGGGGTGGGGGTGGAGGGCTGGGCACAACCCAATCTGAGGTCATCACTTGGTCATCCCTACTTTGATGTGTCATGCCTTCACCCAACAGCCATTTGCTAGGTACCCCTGGATGCCTGGCCCGGTGCTGGTGATGGTAGGGTACAGAGGCAGGCAAGGCAGGAGGCATTCCTCCAGAGGAGCAATTGTGGTGGCCATCCTAATGAATTGCAAAGCCCTTTGTGGTCCAATGTGACCCCTTTAGCCCTCACAGGATCCAGGAGTGGGGCTGGTATTACTACATTTCCATTTCACAGATGAGGAGACTCAGAGAGATGAAACGAATTTCCCACAGCTACATGGCAGATAACAGAGGGAGCTGGGCTGCTAACTGCTCATCCGAGGTTCTGCCTGCTGGTTTCTGAATCAGCATCTTTAAAATATTAATGCACACACACATCACCTGGGGATCTTGTTAAAATGCATATGCTGATTCAGTGAGTCTCAGGTGATGTCCAAGTGCTGGTCTGTGGACCACACTTGGAGCTTGAAATGCTTGAGAGGTCCAGACATGGGGCGGGAGGTGTAGTTAGGGAAGGCTTCCTGGAGGAGGTCCTGAGCACTGTGGGTTGCTGCACATACAGTGGGTGGGTGTGGAGCGGCGGGGAGTGTGTAGGAAGCCAGGATGATGGGGGCAGGAGGAAAGCCAAGGCTGTGGGTTCTAGTCCTGATTCCACTGCTATAAACCAAGGGACTTAGACCTAAGTTACTCCACCTGTGAGGGTTGGCAGCTTCTTCTGGCAAATGAGGTAATACCAGTGCCAACCTCATGTGGTTATCGGGAGTTCTGACTGAGTTCATCCATTCTAAGCACAAGGTCTGGCACGCAGACATTCAGTAAGTGTTAAGCACCTTCCCCTCTTTCTCTGTGATGACTGAGAGGCAGAGGTGACTGGACGACTCAGAGATGGTTTGAACTGCCCCAAAGGATACCTGATGAGGACAGGTATGAAAGAGCAAGGACATTGCCTGTTGAGAGAATGTAGTGGGCAGTTCCTGGAAGTGAGGCCAAGGCAGAGAGGAGGCTGGTGTGGGGACGAAGAGAAGGGCTGAGCTGGGAATGTGAGGCTGGAGCTGTTGACCTGACCGCCAGAGCAGTGCCCAATGAAGCTGCCCTCAGGCTGTGGAGACAAACAGTAGTGGGTGCTCTGGGAAAAATGGGGGGGGAAAATAGGTGTCAGTGCCCTCCAAGGACTCCCTGGACTTTCAGGCAGGAACTAGAGAGAGTGAGGATGCCCGTGGGCAGCAGGAGCCAGAAACCCTCACAAGGTCCCCTGCTCTTCCTCTTTCCCCAGCTGCGGGTCTTCAAGCTGGCCAAATCATGGCCCACCCTGAACACACTGATCAAGATCATCGGGAACTCAGTGGGGGCACTGGGGAACCTGACGCTGGTGCTAGCCATCATCGTGTTCATCTTTGCTGTGGTGGGCATGCAGCTCTTTGGCAAGAACTACTCAGAGCTGAGGGACAGCGACTCAGGCCTGCTGCCTCGCTGGCACATGATGGACTTCTTCCATGCCTTCCTCATCATCTTCCGCATCCTCTGTGGAGAGTGGATCGAGACCATGTGGGACTGCATGGAGGTGTCTGGGCAGTCATTGTGCCTGCTGGTCTTCTTGCTTGTTATGGTCATTGGCAACCTTGTGGTAAGTTGGCCAAGGGCCTCACACGCACACACCATCCACTCATCTACCCAGCTACCCACCCATCCAATTATCCATTTACTTACCCTTCTATCCCTCCATCTACCCATCCATCCATCCATCTATTCATTTACCCACATTTCCATCTAACTACTCACTCATTCATCCACCCGCCATGCACTTACTTACTCATCCATCTATATACTTATCAACACACCATCTATTCAATGTACCCATTTATTCTTGCACCTATATGCTCATACATCCGTCTACCTATTGATCATCCACTTATCAATCACCCACCCACCAACAAACCCACCCATCCATCTATTCACCACTCCAGCAATCAGAAGGATCAGCAGATCCTTCCCTAGTTACCAAGCCACCCATCCATTTATCCACTCATTCACCTTGTCATTCATCCATCAACCCCCTTTTGCTCATTCACTCATCCGTTCACTAATCTGCTTATCAGTCACCCATTCATCAACCCCCATTCACATACTTACGCATCCATATGCCCATTCATCTATCCACCCATCCATTCACTTACACAACCATCCATCCCTCCCTTCATCCATCACCCATCTGTCCACTCACCCAACCATTCACTCCTCTACTCATTCATCCACCCCCATCTATGAACTCACCATTCACTCATTCACCAATTCCATCTATCTACTCATCTGTCTATCCAGTTGTCTACTTACTCACTCATTGACCCATCCATCTGTTCACTCACTCTTCACCACATTTTTTTTTTTGAGACTGAGTTTCACTCTTGTCGCCCAGGCTGGAGTGCAATGGCATCATCTCGGCTCACTACAACCTCTGTCTCCCAGGTTCAAGTGATTCTCCTGCCTCAGCCTCCCAAGTAGCTGGGATTACAGGCATGCACCACCATACCTGACTAATTTTTTGTATTTTTAGTAGAGACAGGGTTTCACCATGTTGGCCAGGCTGGTCTCAAACTCCTGACCTCAGGTGATCCGCCTACCTCGGCCTCCCAAAGTGCTGGGATTACACGTGTGAGCCACTGTGCCTGGCCTCTTCACTGCATTTTGCTCATTCATGCATTTACCCACTTACTTACCTATTATTCGTTATTTACTCATTTTGTTTTCATTCATTTACTTATCTGTTCATCTACCCATTGTTTTACTGTCACACACTGTCAATGAATTATCACATGGTTTTTCAATTTATCTGAAACATTTGCTAAGCCATTGTTGCATGGAAAACATTGTGCCGCACGCTGTTGGGCATACAGAGGCAAATGAGGTCTAGCGCTAGCCCTGACATCACTCACCAGCTTGAGAGATGACTGGGGAGGTGGAGAGTTCAAGCAGGCCTGAAATAACTCTCAGACTGGTCAGAGTGATCAGAGCCATTAAGGAGGAGACCGTGGGTACTGTTCCCACTCAGCTAGGAAAATCAAGGAAAGCTTTCTGGAAGGGATTTTGGAGCTGATCTGATAAACAGGCAATGCTGAAGAGGGAAGGAGCAGGATGAGCAAAGCACAGGTGCAGACAGGTGGTGGTCCAGGTAAGGTGGGGCCCATAGGAGCTTTATATGTCATCCTGAGTAGTGTGGTGGGAGTCTCTGCTGTCCCATCATGAGGGGCCCACACCGTTGCTCCTGTGGGTACCTGTCTGTCCTTGGGCAGGTGCATCTTGTCTTGTGTTTTTACAATGTGGGGAATTCTGGAACTGAGAAAGGTCAAAATTTAAATACCAGAGAAGGTGCCTTAGGAAGAGGCAAGGTTGGGGTCAGTCAGTGGTTCAGGCAGCAATCAGTGTCCACTGTGGATGTGAAGCTACCTTTCTGGGTACACAGGTGGCCCACACATGCTCAAGCAGCATACCTGCATTGTCTGGCTCCCACCCATAGCTGTATGTCTCTGTTGTGGGCAGTGCGGTCACATCAGCTCATAGAGAGGTTTTACATTCACTTTTTCAGCCTGCTGTGGGGCAAGTACTATCGGCTATAGATTCCAGAGTCTTTCCCCAAACCTGTCTGACTTCTTCTCCCACGTGCCTTATCCAGGCCAGGACAGGGCCAGCCAATTTGGGATCATTCCCCCGCCGGCCCGTGAGCCCAGAGGCCAAAGGAATGTGGAGCCCAGAGAGAGCGGAGCCAGGGATCAGTGCACAATGCCACTAGAACCCTGCTCTTTGGCTGGCCCCCAGCCCCTCCTTGTGTCCCCTCAAACTAGCTATCCCTTGGGGTGGAGGGTTGCTCAGCCCATCCCAACCCCAGGGCCTGCCAGGCTGTCTATTCTAGGGAGAATGAGAGTTGCCAAGCACTCAGCCCAGGGCCACGCTGAGCCACCCCTCACACACGGAGCCCTGCGATTTCCCAGCAGATCTGCCTGAGGATGAGAAAATTAGAGGCTGCTGGAGGAGGGAGCTAATGCCAGCCCACGCAGCCCCCTCCCCGGCCGCCTGAGGAATTGGGCCTCTGCTGGGCGTGGGAGGAAGCAAGATTGCCATTGAAATGGGAAGTGATGATCAGGCAGGGCTGGGAGCAGCAGCAGCACGATTGATGGGGAAAGCACTGGAAGAAGCTGAACTTCTGAAGCCAGCGACAAGGAGGGCCCTAGACTCCTGTGTGGGTGGGCATGGCTGCCTAGGTACCCACCCTCCGCCCCCCACCCTACTCCCAGCCTAGGCCCAGGACTCCTGGAGGTTGGAGGAAGCAGGGCCTGGTGTGAGTGAGGGCTGTGGGGGAAGGAGCCAGTGGGCATTCTTCCTGGGAATAGAGGCAGCCATGCCTGGGGTCCTTGTGGACAAAGGCCAGGGGCCAGGCCAGAGGTCGGTGGAGAGAGCAGCTCAGAATTGCATCACATGCTCTACCCCGTAGCAATGATAAAGAAGGCTGCCAAGTGTCAAAAGTGATCATCTCTCCGTAGAGAGTATGGGAGAGCCTACCTCTTCACCTTCCGCACTGTCCGCATGCACATGTGTTGCTTTTAAGCCAAAGGCATGTTTCTGAGGCTGCTTTTGTCAGGATTCCCATTCCCAGCCTGTCCATAGGGATGAAGTCCCTGGTAGTGGCGTGTTTTAGAGGCTCTGGAGAAACCAGAACAGAGTCTCCGAGTGGATTTCCAGATAGAGCTGTGCACCCATCCTCGCACACCACGCTGCCATAAAGGCGCTGGCAGGGAGGAGACACCAAGCCCATGGTGGCCTGGCGGCCTGGTGAGCCATGGGCCAGTCTGACCCACGCATGTGGGAATCAGCCCGCCGCCGTCTTAACTGACCCTCCATGAGACTGGGAAATGGACACAAGCCCAGCCCCTTGTCACACAGAAAAGGCCTTCTGTTTAAGCAAAAGCTAAAGCTTCACTCTTGTAGGAGGGCTTAACAACAAGCAGTTCTCCAGAACCATCCAAAGGCAGAGGGTTATGCAACCCTCTTAAGAAGTCTCCAGTCTCTAAGCCCTGGTGATAGACCTCAATGAAATACTGCACCCTGTGGAACCTCCAACACTGCACCCTCCCCTGGCTCCCTGCAGCATAGCAGGCCTTGACCTTCACACAGTACCCTTCCTAGCCTAGACTACCCTTCCTAGCCTACCCTCACAGCCTAGATACGGTCAGCTCTCAGTGGCCTGACCCCATGGTTAGTCCAAGTGCCTGAGGGCTGCCTGAGCCTTCCTGACCTCTTTTCCAGCCATTGCACCTTTCTCTGCCCAGTCCCAGCATCCCTCACCTGGAAAGCGTGGCAGACCTGGGCCTCAGGTGGCATGTGCCCTACAGCAGCAGCCACAGACCTCTGAGCACCAAGCTGGCTTCATTGGGGAACTCAGAGGCAGGTCACTGCTCCTCCTCTTTCCAACAAAGTCCCAAAAGCTCTGGTGGCTTCTCAGTGGGATTCTGTCCTGTCCCTGGACTCACACTTCCCAGAAAGACCTGTGCCCATCCTAACCCCACTGCCCGTCACTACTCGTAAGGCAGCAGGAAGAGGAAAAGGGAGAAGAAGACTTGTGTGTAGAAGCCACTGGTGCCAAGACAGGGCTCAGTGTGTGTGACTGGGCTAGCCCCTCACTTTGACACTGAATGCACGCATAGTTCTCCCATGAACCTGAGCCAGGACACGACATCCTCAATTCAGGCTGTGTCTGAGCCCTTGGAAAGAAGAATTCAAGTTTGTATTTTCTTTTATAGCCAAACCTTCCATATTCAAGAAAATGAGGGGTTAGGATGAGGGCTCAGGGCCCTGGATTCGAGCCTTGGAGCTGTTTGTCACAGGCAGTCTTAAAGGTCTCTAGGCCTCAGTTTCCCCATCATAGAACTGGGACTGGATGGCTTGGCATGACGCAGTGCCTTGGTGAGCCTGACCCATTATCTCGACAGGTCCTGAATCTCTTCCTGGCCTTGCTGCTCAGCTCCTTCAGTGCAGACAACCTCACAGCCCCTGATGAGGACAGAGAGATGAACAACCTCCAGCTGGCCCTGGCCCGCATCCAGCGGGGCCTGCGCTTTGTCAAGCGGACCACCTGGGACTTCTGCTGTGGGCTCCTGCGGCAGCGGCCTCAAAAGCCCGCAGCCCTTGCCGCCCAGGGCCAGCTGCCCAGCTGCATTGCCACCCCCTACTCCCCACCACCCCCAGAGACAGAGAAGGTGCCTCCCACCCGCAAGGAAACACGGTTTGAGGAAGGCGAGCAGCCGGGTCAGGGCACCCCCAGGGACCCAGAGCCTGTGTGTGTGCCCATCGCTGTGGCCGAGTCGGACACAGATGACCAGGAAGAGGATGAGGAGAACAGCCTGGACACGGAGGAGGAGTCCAGCAAGCAGGTAGGCCCTCAACCCTGCATGTATATACGGGGCCCAGAGCTCTGCTGTCCGGGCCGCCCAGCCTCGCTCAAAGCGGCTACCTCTGCCAGACTGCCTTGGCAGTGGGTAGGGGTAGAAGGGAGGCCCTCCGCACAACAGCCAGCCTCTCAGAGCGGTGCTGAGACCAGCCCTCAACCCTCTCTTCCTAACTCAGTCCAGAAGCCGACCTGGGGAGGCGCTGCTGTCCACCACTCACGCCCTGGCTGGGCATGGGGAGCTCGTTGTACAACAGGGAGACTGAGGCATGGCAAGAGAGACTTGCTAGGTGTTCCTCATGAGTTTAGAACAGAGCCTGTAGCCCCCAGTCCCCACACTGACCATTGTCCCCCTCCAGGACTGGCAAGGTAGTGTCTTGGTGAAGGAGAAGTACAGTTTTCTGACCTCCAGACTGCCCCTTCCCCTCCTCCCACGGCCAGGGCTCATTCTGAGATTTAAAAATAAGCATCCCTAAGACTGAGGTGTCAGGGACAGCACTATCTTATCTCCCAACCTGTTATTTTTAACACTGGGGACCAGAGTCTGCACAAAGCAGGCAGGGCCCACCCCTCCCCTCCCCTCCATTTTCCCTTGGCCTGAGCCAGGCTCAGATGGCTTCTCCTTAGGGCTTTAGGTCAAGCCCCCAGGAGTGTTCTCCCTGTTGAGTCCGGCCCATCTTGGCTGCTTCCTCTGGGCCTGCACTGGGTGGGCCTGGCTGTGGAGAGCAGCGGCTCCCATGTGTGGAACTTGATCTAAGGCTCTGGGCTTGGTTTCACGTCCTCCAGCCTCCCTGTGGTCCCAGAGGCCACCCTTTCAGTCAGGTTGTGGGGCAGTGGCAATGTCTGCTCAGGGAGGGGGCGTGTTGGTGTTGCCAGGACCACAGTTTCCAATGATCTCCAGCACAGGTGGGGAACTCCAGCTGCCTCTGCTTTCCCTCCTCCGTTCCTTCTCTTGAGCCCGTCGACTCTGGCTCTCTGGGGGATGTGTGTGTTCTCATCTGAGAGTGCCATGGGGACTTATGAGGAAAGTCAATGTGCCCTTCCTACAGTGGCCAGCATTTGTGAGCTGGCCATCGCGGCCCAGGTGCACCCTTCCAGGGAGTCTGGGGAGGGGGAGTTACGCCAGGCTGGCCAGGGGCTTCGTCTGGCTCTAGGCCCTTTGCCTGAACCTACCAGGAACCTCCCACCTGCCTGCTCAGGCCCCCTGAGCAAGGGGTCTTCAGTGAGATGGAGGCCCCGTGAAGAGAGCTGGAGGCAGTGACCAAGATGCACGGGCAGGGTCTGAAACCCCCAGGGTCAGGGCCCTGGAGACCTTCTGGCTGGGTATGTGGACTCAGCTCATAGGCTGGGGTCTTTTCAGCAGGAATCCCAGCCTGTGTCCGCTGGCCCAGAGGCCCCTCCGGATTCCAGGACCTGGAGCCAGGTGTCAGCGACTGCCTCCTCCGAGGCCGAGGCCAGTGTATCTCAGGCTGACTGGCAGCAGCAGCGGAAAGCGGAACCCCAGGCCCCAGGGTGTGGTGAGGTAATGCATGCCTTTGTCCATGAAGCCAGCGGGGCACTGCTGCTTGGCTCAGAGCCAGGCTGTGAGAGGTGCACGCCTGCATTTGCTGTTGGGAGCCACAGCCACTGTCCCAGGCAGCATGGAAGACCAGTCTGCAGAGGGGAGAGCAGGCATCCCTGTCCTGACAGGGGAGAGATAGTGCAGGGCCCAAGGCCAAGGGGAAATTCTGGAAATTCTGGTCCCAAACTCTGATGCAGTACTAACCCACTACCTCCATGTGTTCACCTTCTCCACACACTCCATCCCTGTGTTTTGGTCCTGTTTGGCAAATGTTTGTCCTGTGAATCTCCTCATCCAAAGACTTCAGGAGGCTGGGCACGGTGGCTTGCTGTAATTGTAATACTTTGGGAGGCCAAGGCAGGTGGATCACTTGAGGTCAGGAGTTCAAGATCAGCCTGGCCAACATGGTGAAACCCCGTCTCTGCTAAAAATACCAAAATTAGCTGGGCATGGTGGTGCATGCCTGGTAATCCCAGCTACTCAGGAAGCTGAGGCCTGAGAATCACTTGAACCCTGGAGGTGGAGATTGCAGTGAGCCAAGATTGTACCACTGCACTCCCACCTGGGTGACAGAGGGAGATCCTGTCTCAAAAACAAAAACAAAGAACAAAGAAGACTTCAGGGAGCTCTGAGAATGAGCACATTGCCCACCAGCAGCTTCTTATCTGCACCAAAGCAGAGGCCACAAGTGGGAGGCCCACCCAGCCTACCACTGCATTTTGATCTGGCCACAGAAAGGTTTTACTTTAAATTAGCTGCCACTATTTAAAAATTGGGAGATTTTATGTAAAAATCTGCATTTCCGGCTTCTCTTGAAAAATCAGAAGACGTGCCACCCTGCCAGAGGCAAGTGAGAGCCACCTCCTGGCTGCTGGCTGGAGTTCTCTAGTTTGCCACAGAGCCACCTGCCTGACTGCATTTTGTTACCTGCCTGATTCTGTAAGCATTGGAGTTGGCAACCCCTGAGCAAGAGGCTGGTGGCATTGCTGACTAAGCCGCCCAGTCTCACTCACATCTAGCCCACAGAAGTGGAGGGCACATGTTCAGAATGCTTGGTGGCCACTGTCCTGCAGCCTGACCTCACTCAGTGCAGCACTTGTGCCTTTTCCTCTTTTGTGAGATGGGCCCGTGTGAGTTTTGCAAGCATGGCCAGTTTTTGGAGCACAAGGGCTTACTAGATTCATCTTCCTGACTGTGCAGATCACGGTTCTCCACTTGATGGTCTGAGCCGTGAAGGCACGTGGGGACAGGAAGACACAGGAGAGAGGCAGAATGTCGGGAGAGAAGAGGCTCTCACACGGATGCTAACCTTTGAATGAATTTTAAAAGTCTTCCTTTCTTCAAATCAGTTCATGGGGGAGCCTATATAAGGGAGAGATAGGCTGGGGTTTTCCTGGGAAAGGGACTCCCTCGTCTCACCTGCAGTAGGACCTGAGAACATGTCCTCTCACATGACAGCCCCATGGACTTCAGACAGCTCCAGTGTTTGGAAAGAAAAAATAAGCATGCTGCTCTCCTCTGACCTGCCTCTTTCATCACCCAACTCCTTTCATCCCCTAACTGAGCTGGGAGGAGAAGGGAAGGAACCCTCAAAGCCACGGGGGACCACGAAAGGCTGAGCCCCATCTCTCTGGCCAAGGATCCACCTGCACTGAGCAGTAGGCTCTGTTTTCCCTCCAGAATCCATCCCTTTCCCCTCACAGATCTCAAAAATGGAAAAGAAGCCCCTGAGGCATCAGCAGATTGATTCATCAAAGGAAAAGAAAAGAAAGAAGGCAGCCGTAGGAGCATAGCCATGCCCAGGAATTCAGACAAGCCCCTCTCTAAATGGAGCCTGGGCCTGAGCTGATGTGAGGTGGCAGCAGCCAAGGTGGGGGCTTTGGACCTGACCTGAAGGGAATGATGGATTTTCCCCCAACATACCCATCTTTACGTCCCATTCCCTAGAAGCAGAGGGATTCCAGTGCAAATGACTTGTTGAGGGTGTTCTCAGGAGAAACCCATGAGAAAGTAAGAGAAACAGAATGAGGCAAAGGAGGAAGCTACGGAAGGGCTTTCCAGCTGGAGTCAGCCTCATCCTGTCCCAAGTAGAGCTCTGGGGCATGAACTGCACCACAGCATTGTCCCAACTCAAGGCTAGGGGCTAGCCTTCTGTATTCCTGTATCAGTGGCTGCTGGGCACTGGCCACCCCTCGGGACGGCAGCCCCCAGCTGAAGATGATTTTCTGAAGGAGGGCCAGCTGAGCAGCTGGTGTTCACAGTGGCTGGGAATGGGTGCACTAGTCTCATGCAATGGAATTGGGCAGGGTACCCACAGCGGCCCCTGTAACACCCCTCCACACCCACACCCACAAGTGACACACACGGACACTCACGAGGGCACACCTGCATGCACATGCCTGTCTGTAGCCTCCCTATCATCAAGTTATTGAGGTCAAGGCAGCAGACTTGCAAGGACAGGAAGTGGAGGGCTCCATCACCTTCCCAGCCTCCAGGCTCTGCCCAGCACACCAGAACCCACGGGAATTGGGCAAAACGTGTGGGTGGCGTTGCTGGCCTGTTCTCTGCAGTCTGACCTTGCTGCCTGTGTGTTGCCCGGGATCCGGGTTCTGACTTGTTCTGGATGTGGCATGCCTGTTTCCACTGTGTGTGCCATGCCACCACGATGTGTCCATGTCCCACCGTGTGTCCATGTTGCTACCCCATGTCCGTTTTGCTCCCAGCTAGATGCAGTCCCCATCCCCAGTGGCTTCCCAGACCCCTTTCATAGCCCCCACACCCTAGCCCCAGACTCCAGCAGACCAGAATCACAGACCCGGGAGCTCCCAGGTCCAGCCTTGGCCCAGCCCTGACTGGCCAAAGGTGGCTCTGTGGCAGGTCGCAGGGTGCGTCATGAAGATGCTGCCTCCCTACAGGGAGCCTCAAGCTCCTTCAGACTCTGGGCTTGAGGCCAAAGGCTGCTACTCAGCCCACACTCACACCCTTTCCCACCCTGCCCCACACCCCTTTCCACAGACCCAAGAGGACAGTGGCTCCGAGGGCAGCACAGCAGACATGACGAACACCGCTGAGCTCCTGGAGCAGATCCCTGACCTGGGCCAGGATGTCAAGGATCCAGAGGACTGCTTCACTGAAGGTAATGGCCCAGGCAACCCTCTGCCCCAGTCTCAGTTCCACCCAGAGGGGACAGGAGGACCAGCAGCTCTTCGGAGCCCAGGGCCATGTGGCACCAACACCCTGCCTTAGATATCTGCCCACCTCCTCCATTCCTCTGCTACCCTGGGGGTTCCTCCATCTGCCTGACGTGTCTGCCTACGGAGTGCTGGGCTGGACAGCTGCACCAAGGACTGGAGACACTGTGTTTGTGGTGTGTTAGCATCACTGTGTGCCCCACAGCAGCAGGGTCTGGGTCTAATTCGCTCCTGTACCACCAGGCCCTGGCACCGTGCCTGACACATAGTAGGCCCTCTGTAAATCCTTGAGGCAGGTATGACATGTGGCCGTGCTGACTGGCATCTATAGTTTTTATGGATTGGTGGTGTATTTGGAGGGTAACGGGATAAAACGAGAGCTTGGCTGGGTGTGGTGGCTCACACTTGTAATCCCCACTATGGGAGGCCAAGGCGGATGGATGACCAGAGGTCAGGAGTTCAAAACCAGCCTGGCCAACATGGTGAAACCCCGTCTCTACTAAAAAAACAAAAAATTAGTTGGGCATGGTGGCGGGCACCTGCAATTCCAGCTACTCGGGAGGCTGAGGCAAGAGAATCGCTTGAACCCAGGAGGCGGAGGTTGCAGTGAGCCAAAATTGTACCATTGCACTCCAGCCTGGGCAACAAGAGTGAAACATCTCAGAAAAAGAGAGAGAGAAAAAAAAAATGAGAGCTTGCCCTCCATGTGACACATCCATGGGGGCTCTCATTGAGGGGTCTGCCCTTCCCAAGGCTCAGAAACTACAAACATGGAGAAGGCCCAGGGAATGCCCAGGAGTTCCTATCATTTCCCCTGGGGGACAGTTTCCCAGATGAGCAGCAGACAAGCTGGAACTTATCCCAGCCCAGCCTTGTCCCTGCCCAGGCCTGCCAGGCTGTTCACCCACTCACTGGGTGCTCAGTCCATCCATCCTCCTCACAGGATGTCTGCAGAGCGTGCAGCCCCCATCGGTGGTGCCCACGGCCCTCGCTCACACAGCCCTGCTCACCATATTGCCCTGTTCGCCACCCCCACCATCGTAGCTCTTTCTGTCAGTCATCTCTTCAACCATTCAACCTTCTGCCATTAGACGTGGGCATTCACAGGCCCTGAACTGGGCCTGACCCTCACCCTCTCCCATAGGCTGTGTCCGGCGCTGTCCCTGCTGTGCGGTGGACACCTCGCAGGCCCCAGGGAAGGTCTGGTGGCGGTTGCGCAAGACCTGCTACCACATCGTGGAGCACAGCTGGTTCGAGACATTCATCATCTTCATGATCCTGCTCAGCAGTGGAGCGCTGGTACCCTCCTGGGGATGCAGGGCTGGGGCAGGGACGGCTGGAGGAGGAGGGGAGGGCAGGGAAAGGAGGTCTCCAGCTGGAAAGTCAGATCAGAAACTGGGGCAGAGCCTCTGCTGAAAATGTGCTCCCCAGCCCCCCAGAGCAGGGAACAGCTCACAAACTCTCAACGCCCACGGCACATATGGAGGCCAGAGCAGGAAGGGCTCGCAGAGGGCATGTGTCCAGGCCTTCATCTTTGTTCCACAAAAGGGAAATGATTTGCCCCAGATCACCAGCCTCCTACACCAGAGCTCTGGTGACACACCCACCTGCACACAGCATCAGTGTTCGGTCAAGCTGTCACCGTGCAGTTAACCACGCTGGCTCATAGTACAGTGCTGGCTCCACTGAGTCCATGTCTTCAGGCTGGAGGCTGCGCCCTGTAGTTCACACATGGTGACGTTTAATCCCCATGACAACTCTTTGTAGAAACATTAAGTAACTTGCTCAAGGTCCCACCACTCAGGAACCACAGATCTGCTATTTGAACCCAAGCAGTCAGATTCCAGAGTCCTTTGTCTTGACCTCTCATTTGTTCGGTCAGTCTTCTAAGCTCTCCTTGTATCTAGCTCTGTGTATCAGCCATGTGGGAGCCACAGGAGGAGGCCTGAGCCCTGGCCTCAGGAACACCCAATCAGGGTGATGGGAGGTCAGAGAAGGTGGAGCAATCAGGGTAGTCTCCCTGGAGGAAGCAGATAGAGCTGGACTGTGGAGAGCAGGAAGGTGTTGAAGCCAGGAGGAGCAGCGAGGCCCTCCAGGGTTGCCCCATCTGGCTCCCAGGCATGCCGCTCTAATCTCTCAGAGCATTTCCAGGAAGAGACAGAACAGCCCTGAAGGGGGTTCTGAAAGATGCTGGTGAAGCAGGGAGAGGGGTGATTAAGAAGGCAGAAGACGGCCAGGCGCGGTAGCTCACACCTGTAATCCCAGCACTTTGGGAGGCCGAGGGATCACCTGAGGTCAGGAGTTCGAGACCAGCCTGGCCAACATGGCAAAACCGCATCTCTACTAAAAATATGACAATTAGCCAAGTGTGGTGGTGGGTGCCTGTAATCCCAACTACTTGGGAGACTGAGGCATGAGAATCACTTGAACTCAGGAGGCAGAGGTTGCAGTGAGCCAAGGTCATGCCACTGTACTCCAGCCTGGGGGACACAGCGAGACTCAGTCTGAAAAAAAAAAAAGAGAGACATGGAAACTTTGCTGGACCAGGGGAAGTAACAGCCTGTGGAAACTTTGCTGGACCAGGGAAAACCTGTATTGCTGGGGAGGTGAGAACCCCATAGATGAGCAACTAACAGAATGCTTTAGACCACAGACTGAGAGAAAGGGCACTTTGATCCAAAGCTATGTGCCTCCATTCCATGCTGCCTCCTCCTGTGGGGTTAGGCCATGGGGAGGCACTGTGGCTGTCACTTGGAAACCTCTGGGCCTCCCACCCAACCCCGTGCTGCCCTGCCCCTGTTCCAGAATGGGCCTGGAGCCATGACTTGCAGCCTGCCTGCTGTTTTACCATTGGCAGCTAGAGCCAAATCTCTGTAGGCTTCAGAGAAAGATGGTTTGACAATATGTTAACGAGTTTTGTTTTTAAACAGCCACAAACAAGGGCAGCCAGAGCCATTTCGTCTGGGCTGTGGAGGGAAAGCTCAGCTTGGCATAAGTGAGGAGGAGTTTTGGCAAGCATCTGGTGAATCTAATCAGGGTAGACAGCCAAGCTCTGTTGTTAAAAAACCACGTCAATGATATATTGAGAAAAAGAGAAATCTGAGTGTGTTATTTAAAGTTGTAAACTTGTTTAACAGAAAGCAAACTATATCCTTTCCAAATTGCTGAGGGATTTTTTTTTTTTAAAGGAAAAACAGAGATCTCACAGCAAAAGATAGAGGAAAAAAGAAGCAACAAGAAAACATAAAATCAGAAAACAAAATAGTATAATAGAGGCAAGATCAAACATGTGTTTTAATAATAAATGTAACTGGATAAAATTCGTCTTTTAAAAGGAAAGGACTCAGAATGGATCAAAAAAAATCTTCAGCAATGTGCTCTCAAATGACAAACCTAAAACAGTGTGACTCAGAAATATTAAAAGTCACCAGGCATGGTGGCTCACGCCTGTAATTTCAGCACTTTGGGAGGCTAAGGCAGGAGGGTGACTTGAGCCCAGGAGTTCAAAACTAGCCTGAGCAACATAGTAAGACTCCACCTCTACAAAAAGATTTTTAAAAATTAGCCGGGCATGGTGGCATATGTCTGTGGTCCCAGCTACTCAGGAGGCTGAGGGGAGAGGATTGCTTGAGCCTGAGAGGTCAAGGCTGCAGTGAGCCCTGTTCACACCAATGCCTTCCAGCCTGGGTGACTGAGCAAGACCTTGTCTAAAATATATATATACACACATACACACAAATATATATATATATATAACATATATGTCTATATATGTTATATATATAGTGAACTAATAAAGTAGATCAGGCAAATGCAAATAATGACAACAAATTCAGGGTGCTTTTTGTTTATTGAATTCAAGGTTAAAAGCTTGAGATGAGACACAGAGGGTCCAACCTATAATGAAAATATAACTATTGGCTGGGTGCAGTGGCTCATGCCTGTAATCCTAACACTTTGGGAGGCTGAGACAGGAGGACCGCTTGAGGCCAGGAATTCAAGACCAGCCTAGGCAACATAGTGAGACCCCCATCTCTACAAATAAGAAAAATTAGCCAGGCATCATGGCACATGTCTGCAGTCCCAGTTTCTCAGGAGACTGAGGTGGGAGGATTGATTGAGCCCAGGAGGTGAAAGCTGTAGTGAGCCATGAACATGCCACTGCATTCCAACCTGGGTGACAGAGCAAAACCCTGTCTCAAAAAAAGAAAAAAAAATGTGTGTGTATGTGTGTGTGTATAAAATACATATATATTTACACACATAAATATAATATATAAATATCTATAAAAGAATATGGATTTATACAAAATATATAAATATAGATTATACAAAATATATGTAGAAATATATAAATATATAAAATATATTTGTGTATTAAATATGTAACTATAATCTATATAAAATGTTCATATAATATATGAATATATCTTTATAAAAATATATATTTATATAATTATACATATAATTATATATACATATATTTATATAATTATATACAATTATATAAACCTATATAAACATAAGTATATATTATAATATATAATCATATATACCTATATAAGTTCATATATATTATATGTATAGCTATTATGTATACATTTGCTTGGGACTGCATAGCACTTCAATATACAAAACCAAAACCACTGGAGAAAAAAACAGGAAAAAGTGACAACAGTGCAGTAGTACTGGGAAACACTGCCATATTTCTATTAGTTCTCGACATTCCAGTGGAAAGAACAAGACAATCAGAGATCTAAATACATATATATTTATATATAATAAATTTGACCTAACATCATAATAATAAAGACAATAGCTAACTCTTAAATAGCACTCGCTATATTCCAGATACTGTTTTAAGCATTTTATAAGCATTAATTCATTTAATTCTCACAATAACCCTATAAGATAGGTACTATTATTAATCCTATTTTACAGATATGGAAAGTACTAGAAATGGAAAAAATAGGAGGATAAAAACAAACACCTGACCAGGCCTGGTGGCTCATGCCTGTAATCCCATCACGAGGTCAGGAGATCTAGACCGTCCTGGCTAACACGGTGAAATCCCGTCTCTACTAAAAATACAAAAAATTAGCCGGGCGCGGGGGGCGGGCGCCTGTAGCCCCAGCTGCTCGGGAGGCTGAGGCAGGAGAATGGCGTGAACCCAGGAGGCGGAGCTTGCAGGGAGCCGAGATCGCGCCACTGCACTCCAGCCTGGGCGACAGAGCAAGACTCCGTCCCCCGCCACCAAAAAAAAAAAGCAGCTAAAATGTAAAACCTTGGATCAAACAGAAAATAGTTTGGTGGTAGTTTAAGGGGGTTCAATTGATTGATTAACTAATTAACAAAAGAAGGCCATTCATGCACCAAAGGTGATAGTGTGCTGTAAATCAAAGATTGAGATTCCATTAATTCTGTCCACGTGAGATCTGGAAAAATAAGAAAAGTGTAGAGGTAGAGAAAAAGCTGTGACTGGTAGAAAAAAACTAGAAAATAACAGTATTGAGAATACTGCATGTGGAATACAGCCAAAGTTGTAATAAAAGGAAAATTCATTACTATTACTTAAATATTTTTATTATTAAATAGAAAGAACATAAATTATTTAACTCAAGAAATTAAAAATATAACAAAATAATCTTAAACCTAGGCAAGTAATTAATAAAATAAAAACATGTTTTCTTTGCCCCATATGATCCGCAGTAATAAAAACATATATTAATGAATTAGAAAATAAATAGTAAAATTGACATGAAATTCCAAAGCTGATTCCTTGAAAATGTAAAGCAACCAAATTGATAACCACTAGCTCATCGAATTTCTCACATCTCCAAAAACAGATTCTTTCACATTCTCAAGGGAGAAAATAATTCCAATGCTATTTAAAGTACTCTAGTGCATGAAAAAAGAAAGTCTAGAAATTGTTTTTTGTGTGTGTTTGTGTGTTTGTTTTTGAGATGGAGTTTTGCTCTTGTTGTTGCCCAGGCTGGAGTACAGGGGCGTGATCTCAGCTCAACGCAACTTCTGCCTCCCGGGTTCAAGCCATTCGCCTGCCTCAGCCTCCTGAGTAGCTGGGAGTACAGACTTGCGCCACCACGCCTGGCTAATTTTGCGTTTTTAGTAGAGATGGGGTTTCTCCATGTTTGTCAGGCTGTTTTCGAACTCCCGACCTCAGGTGATCCGCCCACCTCGGCCTCCCAAAGCGCTGGGATTACAGACGTGAGCCACCGCGCTCGGCCTAGAAATTGTTTTTTTAAAAGCTAAATAATGCTGATTTTTAAAACCTCACATATACCAAAAGAAAAACCTAGGCCAGTTTTCATTCTTCATACTCCATACTTCTGATTAGTGATGCAAAAATCTTAAACAAAATACATGCAGATAGGATCTAGAAACATATTTAAAAGATTAGGCCGGGCGCGGTGGCTCAGGCCTGTAATCCCAGCACTTTGGGAGGCTGAGGCGGGCGGATCACAAGGTCAGGAGATCGAGACCACGGTAAAACCCGTCTCTACTAAAAATACAAAAAATTAACCGGGCGAGGTGGCGGGCGCCTGTAGTCCCAGCTACTTGGGAGGCTGAGGCAGGAGAATGGCGTAAACCCGGGAGGCGGAGCTTGCAGTGAGCCGAGATTGCGCCACTCACTCCAGCCTGGGCCACAGAGCGAGACTCCGTCTCAAAAAAAAAAAGATTGAGCACATCATATGACAAACGTATCATATCCTAAACTGTGAAAATAGTACCATATTAAGAAAACTATATTAATAGGACAAAGATGAAAAACCATATAATTATTTCAATGAATGCTTGATTTTCAAAACTCTGGTAAGAATAGAAATAAAATATATTTTATTCTACTGAATCCAAAGAACAAAAAAAAAGAAAGAAAATGTGTTTTCTCAATTTAGTAAAAAACTGACTCTGAAATTAACTTATATCATCATTAGTAGTAAAACCACTTGAAATGTTTTCATTAAAGTGAAGAATAAGAAAAGGATGATTTAACTACCTTTTTAGCTATTACTCATTATTTAATAATAGTATTGAATTATAGCCAGTGTAATTAATTAAGAAAATTGAACACATGATATAAAAGTTGGGTAGTAAAATAATTGAAATTAATCCAGTCAAGTATAAAAGCAAGAGTTAAAAATGATAGAAATATATCTTTATTTATAGATAATATGATTGCCTAGAAAAGAATTTAAACCTATTTTAAAAACATTATATAGTCAGTTATGAAATAAATATGCAAAGAATTGTTGCTATTGTTGTTGTTTTATCCTAAGAGAAACCATTTAGTCACAAGTAATATCTCTCAAATATTTCTTACATGCCAAGCACTGCAAGCATAAAATAACTGGGAATAAATGTAATAATAAATGTATAGGAGATGCATAAAGAAAACTGTAAAACTTTGCCAAGCAGTGTAAAACAGAGCAAATAGATAAACATACCTTCATCTTAGGTAGGAAGACTTCATATTAGTTCCTAAAGTAATTAGTAGATTCAATGCAATAACAAGTTTGCAACATTTCTGAGGAAATCTGACAAAACATTGGTAAAGTTTATCCTGAAAATCATTTAAATGTCCAGGAAAATTCATGTGATACTAATTCAGGAATAGACAGAGAACAGTAGAACCACATAAAGAGATCTGAAGTAGATTTAAGTAAATAGAGAAATGTACTATATGATAAAGGTGACTTTTAATCAGTGGATTTTAAGTGGATTATTTAATAATGTGTTGGGGCATTTGATGAACCACATTCTGAAAAAAAGTATTAAATGGATATTTACTCCCTAGCAAACTATATTTAATGTTTTTAATTGTAATGTAAAACAATGAAACCACAAAAATTGTTTTCAGAAGCTCAGTTTTTCCTAGCCTCGGAATAGGGCTTTCTAAATGCAGCACCAAAAATTTTACTAAATGAAAATTATAATAAATGATATGATAATATTAAATGATATAATAATTGAAAATGAAGTACCTAGAACTTCAGTATGGTAAAGAAAAGCAAGTGAGATTTACAGGCAGGTTGGTGCCACAACCCAGGCTTGTGTTACCAAACAAAGAGTTAACGTTCCCAAATAAACCAGACACCCAAGTACAAAAATAGGCAAAGGATATGAAGAGGTAATTCCCCCAGAAAACACAGCAAATATCCAAAGAAAAGATGTCAGCATCACTCCTAGTAAAATAAATGAAAATGTAACAAAATACAAGTTTCTTTCATGAGGCTGGGAAAAGTGAAAAAGGAGACGTGACAGCAGTGTCGGTGGGGCGGTGGAGAACAGCCCGCTTCCTGGCCCAGAGATGGAGTGTCAATTGGTGTTGCCTTCAGAGAGGTCCATTCCCAGACTGTACCAAAAGCACACCTTTCGCCTGGCAACCCAATTTATCCTCAACAATCCCCTGTCCATGCAACTTTATTTCTACTAGAGATAAACTGTAAATAACCAAAATGTGCGTTATTAATAAGGTTATTGGCTAAATAAATAGCAGTGTATGCAAATAATGAAATATGCAGCCCTTTAAAATAGTGATAGATATTATTGTATGTATTCATATTATTGAGTGGATAAATGTTCACAACATATTGTTTGATGGAGAAAGTAATTTCAAGGCAAATATTTAGTGTGTCTCATAAAAGTGTGGTGATTGTGTGTGCACACACATACACATTGTCAAAAATAATACTCACCTAAATGTTAGCAGTGGTTACTCTGGTGTCATGAAATTAGAGATGCCTTTTACTTTCTTTTTTATCGTTTCCATATTATTTAATTTTTATAAGATGCACCCATTTTTATACTCACAAAAAAAAATCTTGAACAACTCCCAAAATCCATTTTGGGAGCTGAATTATCCTGTTGTGCCATCTACAGTGACCCAGTGAGCCATATGTATGCCCTGGCAGTGCCAACAGCACTGGTCTCTTGGGTCACTGTTGCTCACAGAGGCCCTGAAGTCGGATAGGGAGGCCCAGGAGTGGGAGGTGGAGGCAGCTCCCCCAGAGCCCTAGTGACGCGTTCAGTTGCCTAGACAGGAACCTCAGAGCACACTCTGGACTGAGACAGAAACAGGAACAAATCAGTAGGCTGGAGGTAGAAGCCATCTGGGAGCCACTGGAATTTCTCTGTCAGCTCAGGAATTTGAGTTGAGGCAGAAATGAGGAAGTGGAGAAAGACTTACAACTCCTAGGATTTTGGAAACTGACTCCTAGAGCCTGAGAATTGCAGATTTGACTTTATCTACACCTGTGGTTCCTAAACATCATATCTACAAATGACTTTTACTCTAATTTCTTTAAAATTCAGCTTTACATCAACTCTCATTGGTTTTTGCTTATTTAAATAAATGTTTTGTAAAGTGAAACTTAATCATTATTATTAATTGGAAACCAATATTTTTCCCACGAAAAGTAAGTAACTGTATAAACAAAGCTAAAGCAAAATGGAGTGAAAACAAAAAATATTTTATGTTGTTTCCAACAGAAAGCTGTGAGCTGAGCCTGCATACCCTCTCTCCTTGTTAAAATGGCAAGTTTTAGAAAGGCCTAGCCCAAAACTCAGACTTGATCTTTATTGCACAGGGAGAGGGGATCACACCATTCATTCGCCTTACTATCCATCTACCATGTAAGGCCATCTCATGGCCTGCCAGTGGCACAGGCCCCGCTTGGAGGGCATTCTCATCTAGTCCAACACTGCCCAGGAGGAACCCTGTCCACAGCATTCCTCACCCCTTCCCCGCTCTCCTGGGCAGCAGGAGGTGTTGTCAGAAACGGTGCCTAGCCCAGGTACGGTGGCTCACGCCTATAAACCCAACACTTTGGGAGGCCAAGGTGGGTAGATCACGAGGTCAGGAGCTCAAGACCAGCCTGACCAACATGGTGAAAACCCTTCCCTACTAAAAATACAAAAAATTAGCTGGGTGTGGTGGCGGGCATCTGTAATCCCAGCTACTCAGGAGACTGAAGCAGGAGAATTGCTTGAACCCGGGAGGCAGAGGTTGCAGTAAGCCAAGATTGCACCACTGCACTCCAGCCTGGGCAAAAGAGCAAGACTCCGTCTCAAAAAAAAAAAAAGAAAAAAAAGAAACGAAACAAAACAGTGTCTGGTGCAGGGTGGAATCGGCAGTGGTCCAGACTTCATGTCCGCCTTGTCCCGCCTTGTCTGCAGGCCTTCGAGGACATCTACCTGGAGGAGCGGAAGACCATCAAGGTTCTGCTTGAGTATGCCGACAAGATGTTCACCTATGTCTTCGTGCTGGAGATGCTGCTTAAGTGGGTGGCCTACGGCTTCAAGAAGTACTTCACCAATGCCTGGTGCTGGCTCGACTTCCTAATCGTGGATGTGAGTGTGGTCACCCAAAGGGAACAGGAAGGGGAACCCCATTGCCGGTGTGGGAGGAGGAGGTGAGGTAGAGGGCCCGGTGGGAGACAGCAGGCTGAAGGGGCGGCACGCGGCAGTGCTGCAGCACAGACAGACAGGAAGGAGGACGTGAGTCTGAGACTCAGGCCTTGTCCTCAGGTTCCCAGGCTCAGAGGAAGACAAGAAATAGGAGACAGGGTCCTGCCTCTAGAGCCCCCAATTTGGAGCCACAGCAGGCAGAGACCTAGGCCCCTGCTTCTAGGGGAGATCGTTCGAGAGTAGTCAAGGTAGGGGTGTGAGCCAGGGCAGGGGCTGGGGGCTCCGGGTCCAGAAAGGGAAGTGAGCAGACAAGCTTGTGCTCTAGCACACACCACAGCAGACTGTAAGTGTCCATCGGGCCCACTAGACAGATGGCCAGTTCAGAGCCTCCATGCACACACGAGGGGGACAGTTCAGAGCCTCCATCCACACATGCCAGGGGGAGAAGGCTGCTGAAGGGATGCTGGGCAGGCAGGGGAGAGCCTCCAGCTCAGGGAGAAGGTACTGGCTGGGGAGGATGAGAGAGGGGTGGAGTCACCCCAGAGGAGGAGGAAGCTGTGAACACTGGCTCGGGGGCTCTGGGTTGCTGCCCTAGACGATCAGGTAGCTGTGAGGGCTGCCTGCCCAGGCTGTGTCCAAGGAGGGCCTGGGGCAGGAGGTCAGCGTGGCTTCTGAACACCCGGTTGGCAGATGGAGTGTGAAGCCCCTGCCCCACAGCTACCCAGGCCCCAAGACACTGCTGGGTGCCAGGCAGCATGAATGCAGGGTTAGAGGGAAAGTAACGAAGCAGGGAGAAACAGGTCGGTGCAGGGCAGCTCTGGGTCTGCACTCACTGAGGACAAAGAAAGAGAAGGCAAAGGGTGCAGGTGGAGGGACCTCTCTGGGGATCAAACAAAACAGAGTGGGGGTCAGGATCTGCAGACTGAAAAGGGCTTTCCAGAAGGCGCCAGGTTTGCTGATGGCTTCCCGCCTTGACATCGGGCTCTGCACACCAGCAGGAGCTATCCTTCCTGTGCTTACAGGACAGGCTCAGGCCTGTGCGGTCTCTATACCCCACTCAGTCCCCAGTAAGCCTGGCCAGAGTCCAGGTTGAGGCTACCAAGGCTGGATGGGAGGTCAAAGTGTGGGTGGCCATGGTGGCAGAGGCACCTTGGGCTAGAGGGATGTGCAGAAATGCAGATCCAGGTCCTTAGACCTGCAGTCCAGGCCTCTTCCTATCACCCCAGGTGGCCAAGAGGATGCTAATGCTGGGGTGAGGGTGTGTTGTGGGTGGAAGAGGGTCGAGGAGAGCTCTAGACACACTGGACTGCCTGGCCCAGCCCTCAGAGCCTCCCTGAGATGAAGGAGAGGCCCCTGAGGCCTCCCCGTTGAGGGAACATGGGAGGGCCTGGGATCCTGGCAGCTCAGCCCTGAGGCTCCCTGACCCGCTGTTCCTGTAGCATCTTGGAGAGTTGGGTCTGCTGAGGGTCTCCCGCAAGGCAGGCCAGAGGGAATCTGCACAGACATCTGCAGAAGCCCATCCACCAGCCGCTGGCCACCTTGGGGAGCTCAGAGCCAAGGCAGGGGAAAGGGAACTGGCAGTGCTTCCCTGCTCAGGCCCAAGAGAGGAGAAGAAGCCTGTGGAGAAGGCAACCAAGGCTCACAGCAGGGAGAGGCCTTGCCCAAGGCTGAGCAGAAGGAAGTGGGTATGGAATCCAGTGTTCCTGACACGGGTGACACTGCTGTGCCTCTACCTCATCCACATGCCTCATGGGAAAGTTTGTCTCCCTAGATGTTTCCAAGAAGAATTCCGCATTATTTTTCAGTAAATGCTATTGGGTCTGTACTGTGTGCAAGCACGGTTATGGTGCTGGGGCTCTTAGGGAACAAAACAAGAACTCTTCCCCACATGGGGGAAGGTGGCTGTAAGCAATCAGCATAATCAAGAAGCCACTTTTACATTATGTGGAGAAGTGGTATCTATCATGGAGCAAAGAGAACTCGGGAAGGGAAGTGGGTGGGGTGGAGGGGAAGGTGCAGGTTACCACGTTAAATAGGACGATCAGGGTAGGCCCACTTTGGTAACGTTTGAGCGGGTTTGAAGTTGGGGTTAGCCAGGCCAGTGTCTGGCAGACGTTCCAAGCAGAGGTTGGAAGAGCAGTGCAAGGATGGTGTGTCGGGAGCACGCCTGGCATACTGGGGAAATGCAGGGAGGCTAGAGCCACCAAGCAGAAGGAAGTGCAGGAGATGAGGCCAGATTGCAGGGAATACAGCCAGATTGCCACCTTTGAAAAAATATGGGCTTTGATTGAATGAAATGGCGGTAGCGGGGCAGAATTAGAAGGCTCTGAACAGAAGAGTGCCGTGAACTGACTGATTTTCTTTAGGGCTCACTAGGTCATTGAGGCAGGGTAGACAGGAATGAGTAGAAGCAGGGAGAAGAGTTAGGAGGCTCAGGCCATGATCCAGGGAGAGACAATGGAGGCTGGGCCAGGATGGTGGCAGTAGAAGTGGTGAGAAATATTTGGACTTCAGATGTATTTTGAAGGCAGAGCCAACAGGAAATCCTGACGGGTTAGACACAGGGTGTCAGAGATAGAGAGGAGGCAGGGAGGACGCCAAGGATCGTGGCCTGCACAGCTGGAGGGATGGAGTTGCCGTCACTTGAGATGGGAGGCCATCACAGGGGCAGATGGGGCAAGCTTTGCAAAGAACAGACCGCAAGGCAGCCTGTTAGGAACGGGGCAGATGGACCAGCTGGACCTGGCACTCTGGAGGTCCTGCCCTCAAGGAGAGGTCCCTGAGAGATGCCCCCCGACTCTCCAGGATTGAGGGCCCATAGCCCAGCATCCTTGAGGGGTGAGTGCGGGCAACACCGAAATCAGTCTGGCGTGTCTTCCTCCCCTCGGCCTCTTTGCTCAGCTCCCTCCGACCTGGTGCTGCCAAGCCTGGAAGGAGGCTGTGGGAGTCAGGCCCCTGCCCCCAGCCTCTCCGAACCCCAGGCTGGCCTGAGCACCAGGGCAGTGTGAATAGTGACTACAGGGGAGGTCAGGCAGGAGGCCATTTTTGGCCAGTAATCACAGGCCAGCGGTGAAGTAAGAAGGGAGTGTATACCCACGGAGCTTTAGAAGGACAAAATCCACAGAGTGAAAGTGCCCTGGGAGGGGTGGGCCAGAGGGAACAGAGAGCTGAGGCTCCTGGTGCCACCAAGTCCCCACCTTTGCTTTCCTCCTTTGAAGATGTTGAAATGCTGCACAGTCTGGCCTTGGGGAAATGCCCCGCAATTGTCTGTTTGCTCCTACTCAACCCAGGACTGTCTCTCCTTCCTCAAAAAAGGCTTCTTTGGCGAAGAAGGAGATAGGTCCAAGAATTGGAATTGAAGGAAAGAATGTGGAGACCAAAAGCCTAGGCTTTGTGTCCCTGCTCCGCCACACCAGCAAAGTGGCTTTGGAATTCAGTTTTCCCATCTGTAGAATAGAGGTGACACATCGCAACATCGCAGGGTTAGTGGGGTTATTACAGAGTATGTATGTGAAGTACACATAGCAGCCTCTGTAAAGGCCCAGAAGCCAGGACACTCCTGGGCTCGCCCCAGCTTGGGCTCTGGGAAGCCTGGCCCAGTGCAGAGCTGGCCTGTGATGACAGTCCACCCCAGGACTAATAAAGAGTGGACATGGGAGGCCTGTGGCTCTCTGGCACCCAGCGCCATCTTAGCAGGGCCAGGAGCCCTACTGTCTGTCCCCAACAGTGGGGAGCTGTTCCCATCCTCCCCATTTCTACTTTGCCTCCCCCAGGTCTCTCTGGTCAGCCTGGTGGCCAATACCCTGGGCTTTGCCGAGATGGGCCCCATCAAGTCGCTGCGGACGCTGCGTGCACTCCGCCCCCTGAGAGCTCTGTCACGATTTGAGGGCATGAGGGTAAGAGGCGGCTGCCTTCCCACCAGGGAGTGGGAGGCGGTCTCACGGAGGGACCCCCAGCCTCAGCTTGCTGACTCACAGGCCCAGCGCACTGCTACCCAGGGCCCTTCCCTGTGTTTCTGATGTCCTGTGGCCACGGAGACTATGGCTGAGGCTGACTTGGTAGGAGCATGGCCCAGAACCTCCAAGAGAGGCACAACTGGACATGGAGGCACCCTGAGGGTAGGCAGCTGTGAGAACCCACCTCCAGGGCTCACCCTCCAGCCCTGTGAGCTCCTGTGAGGGCTGGGAGAGCACTGGACAAAGGAGAGGAAGCAAGACTTGCTGGGCACAGGGGTCTCAGCTGTACCCCAGGCCACTGGCACCAGGGCCCCTGTGCTTCTGCTGTCCCGTGGGGCTGCATCTCTGTGTGCCCACTCAGTGTGCCCCTCTGTATGCCGTGCCTCCTGGCAGACACAGGCTGCCAGCCCTCTGTGATGGGCAGTGGGGCTGTGGTCGGGAGGGTGAGGGAAGAGGCACAGAGCAAGCCGCATTCCCAGCATCAGACAGAGGCTGTACAGGAAATGACCACGTGCTTAGTGATCTCCTGTGCACCATTTTCCTAGTGCAGATCCCTAAGCATTTTTCAAGTCACCACATTTTACCGAAGAATAAGAGCAGATAAGTCAGATTTGAAAGCCCACCAAGAAAAACATCAGCCGTGATATATAGCAAGAAAACAAATACGCATGTGTGCGTTTGTGTGTACTTGTGTGGGGTATTTTTTTTAACAAAACATGCACAGTTCTGTGTGGCTTCAGAAGACATGTTTGCTTGTCTCTCACTGAGCCAGCAGGCACCACACACAGCTCAGGTTGATGGCTTTGAACCTTGCCCACACCCCCAATCCATGGAGACACACATAGCTCATTCCTGGTGGGAAGCCATCCACAAGATATTATTCAGAGTTAAATATCTCTTTGGGAGCAAGGACATTTGATTCTAGAGGGGTGCAAGGAGACACTAGGTGCCAGGGATGCCTCTGCGGTGGCCGTTGGCCACAGAGCCAGCCAAGGGCAAACTCCCAGGGCTTTCCCGCCTCACTCTACACCCAGATGTTTGGTGCCCTAAGAGCTTGTTTCCCACCCTGTTCCAGGGTTCAGCGTGCCTTCTGGGGACCAGCATCTCCCAACCTGGCATCTGGGCCACACCACACGGTCCACACCAGCTTCACCTCCAGTCTGTGTGGCACTCATGTCCCTGGTGCATGGACAGCTGGGGACTTGGTCCATGAGTGGGGTGGAGGGTCCCAAATGCCTCTACTAGGGAATCTTCTACAGGGTGCTCTGAGTTTAGATGCAGAACATGAGGCTGTGGCTCCATGGGATCTGAGAGCCCCTCACTGGGGAGCGGGTATCACAGGGAGTGCCCATGCCACCTGCTCCCTGGCTCTGCTCTTATGGGAGCACTGGAGAACTGCCACAACACCCTCTAGACACTGCACTGAGGTCCCCTGGGTTACTTCAGGGGAGAACACCCATCCATCCCAATAGCAACAACCTAAAATAAACCAGAATTTAGCTCCAAAAATGTAAGGACTCTTGGGATGGTTAGGAAACCCAGTCTTGGGGACATGTTTTGAGAGGTCTTTCCCATCAAGTTGCTGGCATCCTCAACCAGCACACACCGTGGTGAAAATCGGGTTTTAAAGATCACAGAATCAGGGCAGGGCCAAGAAGGGAAAGCAGATGTTCTGAAGCCACACCAGACTCCAGTGTGCACTCCCCTCACTCCCCACCAGGGCTTCCAGCCATGGAGCTGGCCTCTCCCACGAGTGTGGGATCTGCACACCCACCTGCACAGCCCCCTGCAGCCAGGGAGTTCATTCTTTTGTTGGGGGGGGGCGGTCTTGAAAAGGGCATGTGCTCTGGGCCCCCCCAGGAACTGAGCCACTTCTCTGTCCACTTGAGGTGGTGGTCAATGCCCTGGTGGGCGCCATCCCGTCCATCATGAACGTCCTCCTCGTCTGCCTCATCTTCTGGCTCATCTTCAGCATCATGGGCGTGAACCTCTTCGCGGGGAAGTTTGGGAGGTGCATCAACCAGACAGAGGGAGACTTGCCTTTGAACTACACCATCGTGAACAACAAGAGCCAGTGTGAGTCCCTGAACATGACCGGAGAATTGTACTGGACCAAGGTGAAAGTCAACTTTGACAACGTGGGGGCCGGGTACCTGGCCCTTCTGCAGGTGGTAAGTCCTGGAGAGAAGAGATTTCCTTCCTCCCAATGGCTGTCGAGCAGCATGGCCATCACCCATGATGTGGGCAGGAGTGGGGCAGTGGGGCCGTGCTAGATCTTCACAGGAGGATCACAGTGCCCAAAGGAGACTCAGGACTCTCCAGGGATTTGGCTCCTTGGGAAATCCCCAGACTTTCAGTTCTAGAACCAATACTACATTCTCCAAATTGCAGAGTATAGGGATGTCTCCATGGTGCTGTAGAACAACTTCCCAGCCAGTAGTCAAGTTGACCTCTTCAGGCTATCAGTTAGGCAGTGTGATGGCACAGGTTAAAAAATGAAAGACCATAGACTACTCAGGAACTGAACTGTTAGCAAAGTTGTGACTGTGACCACGCTCTGTTATAAAAGGTAGTGTTAGCTCTTGTGTTATTTAAAAGAACATATTTCCATCTTTGATGTGCAATGTTTAAGCACACACAATCCTTCTAGGGTTTCCATTGATTTTGTGAGTATGGTGGCTTCCGTGATTATAACACATTCCATAAAATTAACCTACCATTAGCCTTGACTAATGCAGCAGAACCACAGTGCAAAAAGCTACAACTTGCTTGCCTTGCTATTCCAATCTTAAGCCCAGACACCTGTCTTGGTTCCCAAAGCAGAGGAAAACTCAGCAGACTCTTACCTGGAACCTTTAGGCATCCACTCACACCTCCACCTATCCCTTAAGCCCCAGTGGTAGTCCCACAAAGACTTGCCTGCACTGCCTAGTGGAGAATGGTAGATTAGCGCCAAACCCAAGGAGCCGTGTGTTCCTGCAACTGTCCCTCAGAATGTCGGAACTTTGGAATAAAAGGCCTCCTTTTGTAGACTAAGAACTGCTCACCTTTCCAGACACAGCCGCTCGGTGTTTGGGAAGAATTCAGTCATAAGTATCTCATACCCTTGGGTGGTCCCCAGCAGTTTCCAAAGTATTTCCGGGCCTATCTTTATAGGCAAGGGCCTGTTGGTACAGGGAGCTGGAGTAGCTTGCCTAATATGGGCGACCTCAGCTTCCCCTTCTGCCTTACCTGCCTCATAAGAATTCTTAGACACAGGAAGTGTGTTACTGAGCTTGTGCTTAGAAAAGAGGCTTGGGGACTGGCCGCGGTGGCTCACACTTGTAATCCCAGCACATTGGGAGCCTGAGGTTGGTGGATCATTTGAGGTCAGGAGTTCCAGACCAGCCTGGCCAACATGGTGAAACCCCTGTCTCTACTAAAAACACAAAAATTAGCTGGGCATGGTATTATATACCTGTAATCCCAGCTACTCAGGAGGCTGAGGCAGGAGAATCACTTGAACCCGGGAGGCAGAGGTTGCAGTGAGCTGAGATCACACCATTGTACTCCAGCCTGTTTGACAGAGTCAGACTCTGTCTCAAAAAAAAGAAAAAGAGGCTTGGGGCAGGGCAGGACTGGATTTGGCCAGAAACACAAATGAGACTTCACTGGGGAGTCAGCCTCACCACCAAGCATGTCTCTTGGGCTCTTTCTGCACATAGCAGCCCAGACTAGGCTGGTGCCAGCAGCACCAGGGCCCTCTCTGGTTCATCCCCGCTCTTTACTCCCTTGGTGTGGTATGCTGGAGCCAGCTTGTGCCAGCTCACAAGAGCTCATCGTTACATTTTCAGAAATTTTGCAAGCTGTTTATTAAACATAGCCATTAAAAAAATTAATTCTATAAACTTACAAAATTAACTAAATGATATTAAAGCAAAGGTAATAAACACTCAAGATTCATCATTACTTTTTAGTGTTATCATCTATGCTTTTGAGGTCTTTTACATCTAGTTTGTCTGTATAGTGGGAGTACCATAATGCTAAGCTCCTATGCATCTCAACTCCATTGAGTAACTTCACATTGGTAACCTGAAATCAACCCTGGTGGGAATATTTACACAAGAGAAATTGGCAAACCAACAATCAGGGTTTTTTCTTTTCTTCTGGGAAGTCAGCTGTTAACTATTTACCAACACACTGTTGACAAAAGAACCCCCTTAAGTACAAGGGAAGGTTGAGATTCTTCGGGAACTTCCCTTGAAAGTCCATGGAGCAGAAGCCACATGGTTCTCTGAGACATAGGACAAGAGGGACCAGGTCAGCCCTGGAGTCTAGAACACAGAGTCTAAGCTCCACCTCTGTCTCCCTGACAGAATCGCTGGCAGGATTCTGTGATGTTTTAGAGATGGAAATGAGTGTGGATCTGAAGGACAGACCTCCTGCAAGCCCCCTCAGACTCTTGGCCTCAATCAAGAAGCTTATTCCCTGCTGCATGGCCTTCTTGGGGCATCTGTTCAGTTGCTTCCCCTCCACCCCTAGCCCTAAACAAGGTCTTTCTCTGACCACCCGGGCATTTGGATGCTGCTGAAGGGGTGAGGTGGGGTGGCTTGCTTTTCATAAGAAGCTTGCTTCTGGCTTCATCCGTCAGACCAGAGCCCTAAGTAACTCAAGCGAGGTGCAGAATTAAATGATTGTCCTAATCTTGTCTTTTCCTCCCAGGCAACATTTAAAGGCTGGATGGACATTATGTATGCAGCTGTGGACTCCAGGGGGGTAGGTTGCCACAGTGGCCCCTTCCACCAAGTCAGGCACCTGAGGCTTCTGGTTGCTTGGCCACCAGGGAATCAGCGTCTGCATCTGAAAGCCCAGCTCACAAGGGCAAGATCTCGTGTCACTCTGGAGTTCAACCTCTCTGGAATGCCCAAGCCTGGCTCTGGGGAAAGGTTGCTTGGTCTCCTAAAAAGTCCCAAAATTCTCAAATGTCTTTAATTAAACTCACTGTAGTTTACTGACTTTTACCCCAGGAGGATGGGGTGGAAGCAACAGAGATGCAAATCAAGCTGCTTCTTTGTCCAGCACCCCACCCGGTCACACTAACAGCTCAGTGAAGACTGAAAGAGGTCCCCATGTACTCCAGCCTCCCATTGGCCCAGGGCTGGAGCCAGGCACTGATACTCTGCCAGCCCTGAGCCCAGCATGTCTGCTGTCCTCACCTGCCACCATCCACTCCTCTCACCTCTATCCCCATCCACCTCTGGCCACAGCCTCACATAACTGAGCCGGTGACCTTCCTCTAGATACACCCTCTCTCCCACAGAATGGATGCCCCTAGCCAGCCCTCCGCCTCTGCCCCCCACCCCTCCCCATGTGACCCCCGAGACCCCAGCCTGTCTGATCTCCCTGTGTGATTTCTCCCTCACAGTATGAAGAGCAGCCCCAGTGGGAATACAACCTCTACATGTACATCTATTTTGTCATTTTCATCATCTTCGGATCTTTCTTCACCCTGAACCTCTTTATCGGTGTCATCATTGACAACTTCAACCAACAGAAGAAAAAGATACGTAGAGCACCAGCTCCCCGCTGGGCTGGGCAGAACAGGGCTGGGTGCCAGGGGATTGAGGGGCCATTCGGGCTCCAGGCCCCATCTCACCTTCCCTGCTGGGAATGGTTCTCTTCTTGCTGCTGCTGGAATGAGGTGGGGAGAAGGGTGTGTCCAGGGATGTAACATGTCTAGGCCTGTAAGAACATAAGAAGGGGCTTTGGTGGGAGACTCCATGTCTGCCCTAATCCACCTGAGAGATGAGACTCCTGGGAGAAGCTGGTGTGAGAGCTGCATCTGTTCACCTGGTCCATGATCAGAGGTCATGAGTAAGGCCTGTGCAGAGGCCCTGGGTCTTCCCAGAGCTTCATCAGAGCAGCTATAACTGGGTTGTAGACAAACCAAGTGAACAGAGAGAACCTGAAGGCTGGTTGAGCTGGGAGGGGGAAAGGGCGGGGGGTGGATACTGGATTTGCAGGTCATAAAGCCAGAGAGATCTCAAGGTGAAAGGGGACAGGGCTCCTGGATAAATAGATTTGAATACTAAGATTCTATCTGTGGTGCAAAATAGGGACATATTTTGTCCAGGAGAGGAAGCCAGGAGGTGGTTGACCCTGGCATCCTCATCAAGGAGGCAAGATCCTGGTGCCCTCCATGCTGGGGCCTCTGAGAACCCCAGAATGAGGTTGGTGCCTTCTCTCTGCACTTAGGGGGCCAGGACATCTTCATGACAGAGGAGCAGAAGAAGTACTACAATGCCATGAAGAAGCTGGGCTCCAAGAAGCCCCAGAAGCCCATCCCACGGCCCTTGGTGAGCTAAGCTCCTGGTTCTGTGGGAGTGGGGAGGATCTTCTGGGGTCCCTGGGAAGCTTTCATGCCACATGGCCAGCCATCAGGGCCACCTCACAGTCTTTCAGCCCAGCCTGAGGGACGCTATCAGATGTCTGAGCATGAAGAGAGGTCCCAGCCTCATACAGATAGGGAGGAAGGTATGAGAAGGATGTAGCATCCCAGGACACTCTCCACCCACAGGAACCCTCTGTCTCTGAGCAGGTCTCCTCCTTCCCCTCAAGGATGCAGGTTTTCCTCAGGAAAAGCAGGGCAGCCTTCACAGCCCCACCCGACCCCACTCAGAGCCTCATCCTTGGACCCCCAGAACAGTCAGGGAGCCGGATTCCTGAGTTAGCTGGTGGGGAGAGCCAAGAGCTCTGGAGAGTGGAGTCCTCTCAAAGACTGACTCCCTTGGCCCAATCAAGCCATTATCCAAAAAAGTGTGTGTGTGTGTGTGTGTGTGTGTGTGTGTGTGTGTGTGTGTTTATAATCTTTTCTAAGTGGGAGAACAGAAAAATATATATATATATTATATATTATATATATATCATATATATCATATATATATATAATCTTATTTCTTTCCCCAAATAATCTGGGCTGATTTACAATTAAAGACACATGTAAATATGGTTAGTATAATAAATAAAATAAATTACATTTAAAAAGTAGAGAAAATATATTAATCTAAGCACTGACATAATTACTAGGGTTGAAGTTGAAATTTACCCTTGAGCCTTCAGACTGTGGCAACTGAAAGGGAAGCACAGTGAACAGTATGCTAAGGATGCTCAGGGCAGGAAAAATCTCTCCCTGAAGATCCGTCATGGAAATCCTCATGAAAGATGGAGCCTTGGAGCTGGGCCTTGAAGCCCAGGAAGCATTTCAGCAGGACAGCCAATGGCTTTAACCTCCAGGAGTTTTTCCTCTGCACTCTCTGTGGCAATGTGGCAGGGGTTTGGGGCTCACTAGAGGGTAGAGTGGGAGGGTGGGTGGCCTGGGATGAGAGGCAGAAACGGGCATTTGCCAGCCTCCCAAGGGCCCTGCTGAGCACTTTCCATTTGCCTCTCCTTTCAGAACAAGTACCAGGGCTTCATATTCGACATTGTGACCAAGCAGGCCTTTGATGTCACCATCATGTTTCTGATCTGCTTGAATATGGTGACCATGATGGTGGAGACAGATGACCAAAGTCCTGAGAAAATCAACATCTTGGCCAAGATCAACCTGCTCTTTGTGGCCATCTTCACAGGCGAGTGTATTGTCAAGCTGGCTGCCCTGCGCCACTATTACTTCACCAACAGCTGGAATATCTTCGACTTCGTGGTTGTCATCCTCTCCATCGTGGGTGGGTATACAAGTCAGCTGCACAGAAGCCCTCCCCAGCCAGGCCTCTCGTCTGGCCCCTGGGTCTCTGCTGAATGCCACGTACAACCCTAGGTTCTTTCATTCTTTTTTCAGTGCATTTCTCACCCCCCTCCCCTCATACATACATGCACACACACACCTCTCCAGAGAGAACTTATCTGGAAGGGTCCACTTGAGTCAAGGAGACCAACCTGGCAGAGGACCCAGCACTCCCTCCTGGCCCCACCCTCCAGAGGACCTGGGAACACAGTTCTCTAACTGCTTAGATAGCTTCAAGGATGAGTCTGGGAATGGGAGTGGGTGCTGTGTAGGCTAGTTCTGCCCACACTTAGGTTGAAGGAGAAGGAAGCTCACTCAGGATGAGGTGGGTCCCCAAGGATGGGGGCTAGGTGGCCCTCCAGAGTAGAAGTTATCCCTGAAGATGGAAAATTCTGGAGCTAACCGCCAAGGTGTATGCCAGACTTTTTCAGACATACCTTTCTCATGCAATTCACCCAGTCAATTCAGCACTAAAGGAGGGAGATTGTACAGCTAGGGAGAAGCAGAGACCCAATCTTGACCCATGTCTGTTTGACCTCAGAGCTCAGATCTTTTTTTTTATGTAACAGCTTTACTGAGACATAATTCACATACCATAAAATTCATGGGTAACTTTAAAGTCACTTTAAAGTATACAATTCAGTGTTTTTTAGTATATGCACAGAGCTTTGCAACCATCACCACTATCTAATTTTAGAATATTTTCCTTTCCCCAAAGGAAACTCTACCCATTCAATAGTCACTCCCCATTCATTTCCCCTCTCCCTCAGCCCCTGAAAACCTCTTACCTAAAATTTTGAGGGACCACCAAACTGTTTTTCAATTTGGCTGCACCTTTTTACATTCTTACCGTCAATGTATGAGGATTCCGATTATTTCGCCCCTCACAAACACTTGTTATTGCCTGCATTCTTTTTATGGGAGCCCTCCTAGTGGGTGTGAAGTGATATCTCCTTGAGGTTTTGATTTGCAAAACCAAATGACTGATGACTAACGATGCAGGACATCTTTCCATGTGCGTGTTGGTCATTTATATATCTTCCTTGGAGAAATCTCTATTCAGGTCCTTAGCTCATTTTTTAATTGGGTTATTTCTCTTTTTAGTGTTGAGTTGTAAGAGTTATTTACATATTCTGGATCATAGTCTCTTATCAGATATATGACTTGCAAATATTTTCTCCTAGTCTGTGAGTTTTTTCATTTCCTCATGGTGTCTACTAAAGGACAAAAGTTTTAAATGTTAATCAAGTCCAGTTTACTTACATTTTTTCTTTTGTCACTTGTGCTCAGAGCCCAAACTCTTAACTCCACCCCCCATGGGGCTCTGCCTTGCGGTGACTGTAGTTTTCATCTTTCTGCCATATACAACCTCTGCCTCTGTTAAATGTAAAGGATAATGCAGGGGCTAAGGCAGGCACTGCTGTGGCTATAGTGATGGGCAGTTGGAAGCACAGAGTAGGGTCAGGAATCTCGGGGGGGTCTCAAGCAGGGTGAGGGTGAGAGCGTGCCTCATGGGACTGGAGAGGAACTTTAGAGGATGCAGGATGTGAGCAACAGGAATGGAACCATTGAGGGACAGTCTCAGAGGCTTTGGAAGGTGCAGCATGTACTTTGGGATCATCTCCTGGCCCGGTGTTAGGGCAGTACCAGAACGGAGTGGTTAAGAGATGAACTTGGAGCCCGAATGTCTGAGTCAAATCCCAGCTTCTCACTCACTAGGTGGCAACTTGGGTAAGTTGCCTCACCTCTGTTTCCTCTTCTGGAAGATGAGAATGATGGCATCTGCTCACTTCCTAGGACAACGGGAAGGACTAAATGAAATGATGGCTATGAAGTGCTTGGCCCATTGCTCCACTGACCGTAAACAGTGGACACATGTCAGTCAGTGACATTTTTATATAAGGAGTCTGGAAAGGGCACTTGGGCCATATAAGACAAGTTTATATCACTCTTTATTCTATCATTTATATCCATGCCCCTTAAAACTCCAACCCAGGTAGTCACTGGAGACCCAGGAGTAGAGAAGCCCTCAAAGGTGGCAGAGTTAGGAGGGTGATAAGAACCATCACAGAGAGGCTGAGAGAAGACACTGGCCATGGTGTGGCATCAGGGAGCACTGATTTCTGGGCCAGTGTTTCATGCCCTTCGATGGGCACATAAATCATCCAGGCATATTAAGATGCAGCGGGCTGCGATGGAACTGAGATTCTGCATTTCTGATAAGCACCCAGGAGATCCCAAGGCTGCTGGTCCTCACACCACACTTTGAATAGCAAGGAGCTAAAAGGCCTGAGTGCTAGTCCAAGCTGGGCGGGCAGGATGCTAAGCAGAGCCCCTCTGGCCTGAGAACCCAAGATACAGAAGATGGGCCTAGGACAGCTCTATTGTGCAGGTACACACTGAAGATTAAGGAATGAGGGGGCTGAGAAGGAACCCTGCAAAGGACCCATTTTTCTGGGTGACAGATGCAGACCTGGAGACTCAGACAGGCAGGAGCAGGCAGAGTCCTAGCATGCCCAGTGGACGCAATCCTCCTGGAAGGGCCACCTCTCCTTGGCTCCTTGCCTTACAGAGACTCCCCCACCCCTGCACAGTGATGCTGGCTAGAGGACCGAGGTGCCACCAGTAGCCACAGTCTCTGTTGTTTCCCACAGGCACTGTGCTCTCGGACATCATCCAGAAGTACTTCTTCTCCCCGACGCTCTTCCGAGTCATCCGCCTGGCCCGAATCGGCCGCATCCTCAGACTTATCCGAGGGGCCAAGGGGATCCGCACACTGCTCTTTGCCCTCATGATGTCCCTGCCTGCACTCTTCAACATCGGGCTGCTGCTCTTCCTCGTCATGTTCATCTACTCCATCTTTGGCATGGCCAACTTCGCTTATGTCAAGTGGGAGGCTGGCATCGACGACATGTTCAACTTCCAGACCTTCGCCAACAGCATGCTCTGCCTCTTCCAGATCACCACGTCAGCCGGCTGGGATGGCCTCCTCAGCCCCATCCTCAACACTGGGCCCCCCTACTGTGATCCCACTCTGCCAAACAGCAATGGCTCTCGGGGGGACTGTGGGAGCCCAGCCGTGGGCATCCTCTTCTTCACCACCTACATCATCATCTCCTTCCTCATCGTGGTCAACATGTACATTGCCATCATCCTGGAGAACTTCAGTGTGGCCACGGAGGAGAGCACCGAGCCCCTGAGTGAGGACGACTTCGACATGTTCTATGAGATCTGGGAGAAGTTTGACCCAGAGGCCACTCAGTTTATTGAGTATTCGGTCCTGTCTGACTTTGCCGATGCCTTGTCTGAGCCACTCCGTATCGCCAAGCCCAACCAGATGAGCCTCATCAACATGGACCTGCCCATGGTGAGTGGGGACCGCATCCATTGCATGGACATCCTCTTTGCCTTCACCAAAAGGGTTCTGGGGGAGTCTGGGGAGATGGACGCCCTGAAGATCCAGATGGAGGAGAAGTTCATGGCAGCCAACCCATCCAAGATCTCCTATGAGCCTATCACCACCACACTCCGGCGCAAGCACGAGGAGGTGTCAGCCATGGTTATCCAGAGGGCCTTCCGCAGGCACCTGCTGCAGCGCTCTGTGAAGCATGCCTCCTTCCTCTTCCGTCAGCAGACGGGCAGCGGCCTCTCCGAAGAGGATGCCCCTGAGCGAGAGGGCCTCATCGCCTATGTGATGAATGAGAACTTCTCCCGGCCCCTTGGCCCACCCTCCAGCTCCTCCATCTCCTCCACTTCCTTCCCACCCTCCTATGACAGTGTCACTAGAGCCACCAGCGATAACATCCAGGTGCCGGGTTCTGACTACAGCCACAGCGAAGATGTCGCCGACTTCCCCCCGTCTCTGGACAGGGACCGTGAGTCCATCGTGTGAGCCTCGGCCTGGACACATCGTGTGAGCTGGCCAGGACACACCAAAAAGCAGCCTTTTGCACCGCGGCAAACCCAAATGCAGTCAGTCACAAACAGCCTGGGGCCTTCCTGGCTTTGGGAGTAAGAAATGGGCCTCGGCCCCGTGGATCAACCAGGCAGAGTTCTGTGGTGCTGCGTGGACAGCCGGAGCAGTTGGCCTGTGCCTGGAGGCCTCAGACAGACCTGTGACCTGGTCTGGTCAGGCAATGCCCTGGGGCTCTGGACAGCAACTTCATCCCAGCTGCTGAGGCGAAATATAAAATTGAGACTGTATATGTTGTGAATGGGCTTTCATAAATTTATTATATTTGATATTTTTTTACTTGAGCAAAGAGCTAAAGATTTTTCCATGGACATGAGCAGCAATTCACGCTGTCTCTTCTTAACCCTGAACAAGAGTGTCTGTGGAGCAGCCGGAACTCTGTTCTCAAAGCAGAAGTGGAATCCAGTGTGGCTCCCACAGGTCTTCATTGCCCAGGGGTCGAATGAGGTCCCCCTCCCACTTGACCTGAGATGCTGGGAGGCTGAACCCCCCCACTCACACAAGCACACACACACAGTCCTCACACATGGAGGCCAGACACAGGCCATGGGACCCAGACTCCCACTCTAAGGGAGACAGGCCTTTCCCTGCCGGCCCCCCAAAGATGGGTCTCTTGTCCGTGGGGCTCACTCTGGCTTTCTGTTGTCTCCAAGGTCCCATTTTCCTCCTGCGTTTTCACGCAGGTCATATTGTCAGTCCTACAAAAATAAAAGGCTTCCAGAGGAGAGTGGCCTGGGTACCAGGGCTGGCCCTAGGCACTGATAGTTGCCTTTTCTTCCCCTCCCGTAAGAGTATTAACCATAAAACCAAAGGGCACAAGGGTGCCAGCCCCACTCACAGCCTGGTATACAGCTTGTCCTTGCTGCTGGAACCTGGCAGGCCCTGCCCACCAGTCCAAGGGAAGAGAAGGCTAAGCCATGTGGGTTTGGGGCTAAGAAGTTCACCAGCCCTGAGCCATGGTGGCCCCTCAGCCTACCTGAAGAGAGAAAATTGGCCATCTCCCAGGGCTCTCTGGACCATGTGCGGAGGAGTTTTCTGTGTGGTCCCCAGCTCCCCTCCAGACACAGAGACGTGGGAGCGGGGAGGGGAGCTTGGCCCTGTGCCCTCTGCAGGGAAAGGGATGGTCAGGCCCAGTTCTCGTGTCCTGAGAGGGGAATGAAACATGGCTCCTCTGAGAGAGGGGCACTGTGGTCAGGCCCCGCCTCTCTGGCTCAGCCCGGGATCCTGATGGCACCACACACAGGACCTATTTGGGACAAGGTCCAGGTGGTCCTCTAGGTCTTGTGAAAAGGCTTTTTCAGGGAAAAATATCTTACTAGTCCAATCACCCCTAGGACCTCTTCAGCTGCTGACAATCCTATTTAGCATATGCAAATCTTTTAACATAGAGAACTGTCACCCTGGGGTGACAGGGTCAACTGGCGGAGCCTGAGCAGGCAGGGGCTTGGCTGCCCCATTCCAGCTCTCCCACAGGGCCCCTCCATCAGGCCCATGCCTCCCGGGCCACCTCAGTCTCACCTGCCCGCTCTGGGCTGGCTGCTCCTAACCTACCTCGCCGAGCTGTCGGAGGGCTGGACATTTGTGGCAGTGCTGAAGGGGGGCATTGCCGGCGAGTAAAGTATTATGTTTCTTCTTGTCACCCCAGTTCCCTTGGTGGCAACCCCAGACCCGACCCACGCCCCCGACAGATCTAGTTCTCTTCTCCTGTGTTCCCTTTGAGTCCAGTGTGGGGCATGGTTTAACTGTCCCAGCGACGTTTCTCCAAGTGGAAATCCTATTTTTGTAGATCTCTGTGCTTTGCTCTCAAGGTTTGGAGAGGTGTGTGCCCCTGCTGGGCGCTCACCGCCCGCTGCACAGGCAAGAATGCGGTTGGGAGGCAGGCCAGGCTGCCAGCCCAGCTGGCCGGAAGGAGACTGTGGTTTTATGTGTGTGGACAGCCCGTGAGCCTTGAGACAGGTGCCTGGGGCTGGCTGCAGACGGTGTGGCTGGGGGCGGGGGTGAGCCGGACCCAACCCTTAGCTTTTAGCCTGGCTGTCACTTTTTTGATTTCCAGAACTGCACGATGATCAGCAGGAGGGGAAAAGAGAGTAGGAAAAAGGAGGGAAAGACAGACATCAAGTGCCAGATATTGTCTGAATTAATAGAGCACTTCTCACCAAACTTCATGTATAAATAAAATACATATTTTTAAAACAAACCAATAAATGGCTTACATGACCTGGTCTAGGCTCTGTCCTTATGCTGAGATTTGACAAGAGTGGTAGCAGAGGCCCGAGGGCCTGGGAGATGGCCTCATCCCGAGCAAGTCTGGGGAACTTGCTGAGAGGGCATGACACTGACCATCATAACCATGGTTTAAGCCTACAGTTCTGTGGCAGTAAGCACATGCATGCTGTGGTACCACAGTCACCAGCGTCCATGTCAGGAACGTTTGTGTCAGCCCACATTACAACCCTGCACCCATTAAACACTAACTCCCCGCTCCTCCCTTCCCCCAGCCCGGGGCTGCCATTCTGCTTTCCATCCCTACAAATTCGACTACCCTAAGTGCCTTATGTAAGTGGAATCATACAATATTTGATGAATTTGACTACCCTAAGTGCCTTATATAAGTGGAATCATACAATATTTGATGAATTCGACTATCCTAAGTGCCTTATATAAGTGGAATCATACAATATTTGATGAATTCGACTATCCTAAGTGCCTTATATAAGTGGAATCATACAATATTTGATGAATTCGACTATCCTAAGTGCCTGATATAAGTGGACTCATGCAATATTTGTCCTCTTGTGACTGGCTTATTTCACTTACCATAATGTTCTCAAGGTTCATCCAGGTTACACTATATTTCCTTCTTTTTTAGGATTTTTTTTTCAGAATTTTCAGAATTTTTTCTTAATTTTTTTCATAAATTTTCAGAATTTACATCCTTTTTAAGGCTGAATAAGATTCCATTGTATGTATTTTGCTTACCCTCTCACCCACTGAGGGACACTTGTGTTGCTTCCACATTTTAGTTATTGTAAATAACGTTGCTGTGAACATGAGTGCACAACTATCTGAGACCTTGCCTTCAGTTCTTTCGGGTAGGTACCCAGAAGTGGACTTGCTGTTTCATATGGCAATTTTATTTTTAATTTTTTAAGGAACTGCCATACTGTCTCCCACAGCACAAGGGCTCCAGTTTGTCGACATCCTCCTCAACTCTTGTTATTTTCTGTTTTGTTCAAAGAGCAGTCATCCTAATCTGTCTGAGATGGTATCTCATTGTAGTTAGTTTGTTTGTTTTTTATTTTTTGAGATGGAGTCCCACTCTGTCACCCAGGCTAGAGTGCAATGACATGATCTCAGCTCACTGCCACCTCCGCCTCCCGGGTTCAAGTGATTCTCCTGCCTCAGCTTCCCGAGTAGCTGGAACTACAGGCACCAGCCACCACCAGCTAATTTTTGTGTTTTTAGTAGAGATGGGGTTTCACCATGTTGGCCAGGCTGGTCTCGAACTCCTGACCTCAGGGGATCCACCTGCCTTGGCCTCCCAAAGTGCTGGAATTACAGGCATGAGCCACTGTGCCTGGCCTCATTGTAGTTTTGATCTGCATTTCCCTAATGATCAGTTATGCTGAATATATTTTCATGTGCTTATTGGTCATTTGTATTTCTTCTTTGGAGAAATGTCTATTCAGGTCCTTTGAATGTGGTTGTTTTCTTTGTCACTGTTGACTTTTAGAAGCTCTCTATATATTCTGGATATTAATTCTTTATCAGATATATGATTTGCATATATTTTTCCCCATTCTGTGGGCTGCCTTTTTACTCTGTTGATACTGTCTTTGGATGCACAAAACTTTAATTTTCATGAATTCCATTGTCTATTTTTTCTTTGTTGCCTGTGCCTCTTCCCATCTTATTGACTGTTTTTTCAGCTTCCCTTGGCAGAACATCCTCTGGTGTCTAATGTTCAAGTTCTTTAGGCCCTGTGCTCTATCCTAGAAAGACTGGAAAACACATTCTTTTCCCTTCCCGTGGCTTTGAAGAGTCTTGATCTTTTCCTGAGGCCAGGTCTCTCCCTGGAGCCCCAGGCCAGCAGATTCAGCTGCTTACTTTGGACATCTCCAGAGCTTTCAGGCCCAGCCCAGCCAACTCTGAGCTCCTCTGCCTTACCCTGAGCCTATCTGTGAAGGTGCTCCTACAAATCCATCCTCAGCCACATGCAGCCCTCACCTCTCACCCCTCACCTGGTCCAAGCCCCATTGGCTCCGCCTCCTTCATGTCTTTCAAATCCCACCTTTTGGCTCCATCTTACTGTCCCTTCCTTGGGTGAGGCCAGCATCTCACCTCATGGAGGCCACCAGGGAAGCTCCTTCCTCTAACCTCATCCATTCCAAACTCTTCTCCACTCAGCTACCAGAGTGATATAATTACCCCCTGGATAAGACTGCACAGTGGCTTTCTGTTGCCTTAGGATCAAGGCAACCCCCTCAGAGGTCCCCCCAGCCCTGCCAACCTCTAACTGCATCTCTTCCAACCCCTCAAAGGCTCCAGTCTCTTCCTCCTCCCAGCCTTGCCAGAACACTCTTCTCCTTTCCACTTGGCCTTCAGGCCTCCCTGCGTGTCCCTTCCTCTGGGAACCTCCCCTGACACAGCCCAGCCCCTCCCCACAATGTGTCCACTCTCGATGCTTCCCTGCCACAGCCCTCCACGCTCTGTGCAAACCCTGCAAAGCCATTGTGTGAACAAACACGATCCCGGATGTAATAGAACCCAGGCTTGGTCTCTATCCCTTCCTGTCCCTTTCAGCTTTATTCAGTGGTGATCATCTTCCCTGACCGTGGGGAAAACCCGGGCAGATCCTGTAGCTTTGCAGCTCAGTCTTAGGTTATTTTAGCTAATTTGTCAGTTTGTGTTGTAAATACAGACTCAGCCAGGCCAAGAGAGCGTTCGATCCCATGACTTGTCAGAGACAGGCTGGCTGGTGGCTTCTCCTCCCCAGGCCAGGCAGATGGTTAGGGATGCTGTCACACAAGGCATGTTTGTGGGATCTCTCTTCTGGGTGCCCCCTTATGATCTCTTCCTTTGCCCATGGGAACCATGAGCCTAGCCCTTCCTGGCAAGGCCCCGTGGCCCTGTCATAGTGGTGCACACTGGCTCTCTCTCCATCTGCCCACCTCTGGCCCACAAGAAACACTTGGAGCACTTGCCCACCTACTCTGGGTGGTGGCCATGCCCTGACAGCAGTGCCTTCTGCAGCCAGCCCCAGCACTGCTGGCCCACAACCCTTCCTCTGGGTTCTCAGGGCAGGAGTCAGGCCACACTCGCTCATCCAGTTGAGCTTTCTTGGATCCTGCAGGCCCAATTCTCTGTGTCTCCAACATCTCAAAGCTCTCTGAGAAGCTCTGGAGGCCCCTTGGCCTGCCTGGAGTTAGAAGGTGGTGTGTACCTGCCACAAGCCTTGCCAGAACCTCCTGCAAGGGAGGGCTCGGGTCCTGGAAATAGCATAGCAGCAGCTCTCTCTGAAGAAATTGGCTCCCAAGGTCCCGCAGCCCTCCACTCTCTCAGACCCCTTTTTATATCCTTGATGTGCCCAGGGGCCCAAGTGGGTGGCACCATTTATTTCCCTTGCAAACCAACTTCATAGGAGAGGCATGTGGTTCAGTGCCCTGAAACCTCCGATATTGGTTCCTTGGTCCAAACTGGGACAGGGATAGTCCGTTCACCACTGGGTTAACCATCTTTCTCCAGCCACACAAGAACTTTTTCAAATAGCAGACTGTGTCCAGTTTTTTGTTTTTGTTTTTTTTTTTTAAAGAATATCAGAATTTAAAATAGCAGTGTATCTCACGTGGTAAGAGTGAGTGTTGTTTGGCGAAACTGTTGATTCAGCTCTATATAAAAGTTGGGTGAGTGCCCATGTGTGTGTCCTGGTGAGTGACAGAGAATAAACTTTTTACTAGGAATCTCAGTGAAAAGAACTTAAAAGCAGCACAAGAACAGAGTCTATGTCTGCTTTACTCAGCACTGCATCCTGGGACTAGCTCAGTGGCTGGCACATGGTGGTAACTCAATGACTATTGCGTGTGTGAAGAGAGGAGGGAAGCTGGAGACTACGACCCCACTGTGAGGCTGTGGGGGAGTCAGGTCTTTCTCACAAGCTCTAGGGATCCTAACTACTGCCTTGGTCTGGGCCAGCGGGAAGCTTCCTGCATTGTTCTTGAAACCAAGGCTTGGAGCCCGGGCTTCTCAGCCCCTTGGGTGGGGTCTTCCCTGGCTGCCTGAGGTGGGCCCTCACCTGGCCTGGGATGTGGGCGGGCTCACCTGGAAGGAGGAGTGAGTGAGGCTGGGACGTGGCTGAGGCCGGGAAAGGAGGCCTGTGCTCGCAGCAAGGCTGCAGCTGCCGCTGGGTCCCTCTGGGGTGAGGCTGGGGTCCAGGCAGCGGGTGGCTCTGTGAGTGATGGATGCGGCCCCTGTGTCAGCGGGAAAGCATGCAGCCCAGAGATCTCAGCCCTTGGCAGGGAGAGAGATGCTCCTGGACAGACGTCAGCTCTCACCCTGGGGGCCACGGCAGTGTTGGCAGCTTCCCTACCTCCGTGCCAGGAGCTCCTCTGACATCAGCCCTGATGGCCACGAGACTCAAAGCCCAGGAGGTTGGGAGGGGCCAGGGAGACAGAAGCCCAGGCACTCCTACAGGCAGAGACAGCAACTGGGGACAGTAACTGAGAGCGAGGCAAGGGTGTGGTGGCAAAGATGCCAAACGGCAGCCACTGATGGGCTCAGAGAAACAGCAGGGACTAGTGTCTCCTGACCCTGGCTGCTTCTGAGACTGTGTGTGTGCTGGCATGGTGCCTTTGCACCCTACCATTGCTCTAAGCACACTGTTACTGTGCAGCCCACCTGTGAGTCTAAGGGCTGTGCAAGGCCAGGCCAGACCTGTTTGTTCATAACACAGTCTTCAGCCCCCGCCCCAGCACCTGGCACAGATAAGGAGCTGGGAATATTTGCAGAAGAAAAACTGATTGATCAGCCAATTCACTCTCTGCTGAGTCTCCCTGGACCTGCTCCTCTGTTTGAACCCTTCTTGTCCTCTCAAGTCTCCTGCCCCTTTTCTCACCAGCAGTCCCACCTTCCACTCTGTTTTTCTGGAAGGAGGTCAGACACAGGACCATTTGAAATTCTCGCCAGATGGAGAAACACACGTGGATTCACCATGCACTTGT